GCAGATGCAGTCACTACCCTCCTCCATGATACTAAAGCCATGCAGCACGTCAAGCTGAAAGTCTCCACTCTATTCCTCGACATCAAGGGAGGCTTCGATAACGTCGTCAAACACACCCTTGCATCCACCCTCGCTGCCAAAGCTACCCCCCCATACATCATTAACTGGGTCCTATCGTTCCTCTCCGACAGGCACATCACCCTTCTCTACAAAGGTTCTCCAAGAATCCCAACCCCTGTCCAGGTGGGCGTCCCCCAAGGCTCCCCCATATCTCCCCTCCTCTTCGTCATATACATGAACATCCTCCACCTACATGACCCCTCCCCAGGGCTCACCCTATCTTACGTCGATGATTTTGCAATAACCATGGGTTCCCCCAGTTACCAACAAAACATCCACATACTCGAAGAACACTTCAAGGCGATTACAGCCATCACGGCCGCCCAGAACACCACCTTCTCAATCCCAAAAACCGAACTCATGCACTGGCGAACCCCTAAAGATAAGGCGCCAACCTGCACTCTCCCCATCACCCTTGATAACCAGATCTTCCACCCAGGCCATCAAGTCAGATGGGTCGGATTCTGGCTATCCCCAAACTTCAACCCAAACGTCCATTTCATCCGCCGCCTAGCCTCCGCCCAAGCCAGCTTCGGGTTTCCTCCAGAGATTTTCCTCCCCCGGCAAAGGCCTCTCCTCATCCAACTGTAGGAAAATTGCCCTACGTGCCATTCGCCCAATGCTCACATACGGGGCATCCGTCCTAACCCCCATCAGCTCCCTCAAAGCGATTAACAAATTCTGGAACTCAGTACTCAGATGGGCCACCGGCTGCTTCAGGGCAACCAACGAACGTGTCCTCTGAGCTGAAGCTCACTGCCCCCCCCCTCACCAACTACATCCACTACCTCAAAACAAAGTTCGCCATCCGCGTCCTACTCGCTCACCCCCTCAACAACCCAGTGATAGGACGCTGCCACCCCTCCTTCTCTACCCTGACCCCCGATAGGGTTCCCTCCCACACACACCTCCTACACGGCCGCCCTAACCCACCCAAAAAGTGGAACTCAACGACAACGAAGGGTGTGGCCTACCTCCCTATCGAACACCTCTGCTCCCTCCTCCCCTACCCAATCGCAGGCGGAACCGACCACAAACTCCTCCCAAAACAGGCCAAAGAACAGATGCTGAATAACTGGGCACAAGACTACCCAACACCCTCCTACTACTCCTTCCCTCTCACCACAAGCCCTAAGCTCTTCATGGACTTACATAAATTCACGGCTACTCGAATCCATCAAATGAGAGCCCAAAAAAGCTACCTTAGAGGCCACAAATCATGGCTCAACCTCCACCTCTCCGACGTGTGTGATAGTTGCGGCGAAGGCCCTGAAATCACCGAACATGCCATCTTCTCTTGCCAAGCAAAAGCAACCCAACGCGCCCAACTCCTCCCAGGAATCAGCACCCTCGAAGAGATCTGGAGCAACCAAACCAACACACTAGCTCTGGGAGCCTTCATCACTGCCACCAAAACAAACCTCCCTAGGAGAGAACATATCTCACCCCTCCTATCGGGATCCCAGACGTCAAGCGCCCTCAGTTCCCCTCCCTCCTACACCTAGCCATCACAAAACCGCCTCCACCAAACCATGGAACCCCACACCCTCAAAGACCCTCAAAGGGCAACAGGTTATCGAAAACCAGCAGGAAGAATCTCTTATGTCGGATATGGGCCGCCAAAGATTGTTGTTTTCCTTATCGTGATCTAGTCAGTTTGTTAGCGCAGTAACCATTTCCTTACATCTCATATGTTCTTCTGGGGTTGTGATATTTGTTTGTTTTCTAGCCGGGGAGAGGTATTTTTATGCCATAGTCTATGACTGCATGCAGAGTTTTGTACCTAGAATCAATTAAAACTACATGATTTAAAAAAAAAAAAAAAAAGGTCACTCGCTGGGCTCATATTCCTACTATACCGCAGTTTACGAACAGTTCATTTTGTAGCTCTGGTAAACGATTGAAAACATTCTGCAAGACTCGAGTCTGTTCTCTAATCACAAGCAAGAAACCACTCACATAAGATACCCAAGTATATCAGTGTTCTGTATCTCTGCATCTCTAGGGCCTTTATGAGGTGGAGGAGTTTGAAGGAGACTTAGCCCTCGCTGAGTTTTGAAGTTACTTAATAGATGTAGATAGTTTAGTTTGCTAGATAAATACTTGTGTATCCTCATTACTCAATTGAAATATTGGCATGCCAAGTAACTGGGATACTGACTCCCAAATGCGCAACTGTCCGCTCACGCGCAGTATGTGTCATGCCATGCGCCGTACCCCCGTACAGGGAGAAGGTCTTCAAAGTCGAGATCATCGTTCAACAGTCTAAGAAGTGTTCAACAAATGTGCACATGGGCAATCAATACTCCTTAGGGTACAATTTCGAACTGGTAAACTACTTTCTATATGGGGGATTGGGGTAGGCATGAGGCTCACAGCGGAAATAGGCCTATATTAAAATATCCAAACAGACGTTTAAAACGTACCATACAAACTTAGTACCTTACGTTCTCGGTGCAACTCTGATAGCGGCTTACTATATAAAGTATCATGCTCTCGATCATCTCAACACCCCGGGTGATTGCATCCCTTTGAGATCTATCCCGGCGACCTACCGACCAATCTGCAAAAGGGCTGTAACATCAACCCTTTTCTGCGCCTCAGCCGAGGACTCATCGCAGCCCGACCCTAGTTAACCGATGTTAGTTAAGCGATTTTGGTATCGGTCGACAGTCGCTGGTGCCATATAGCAAGAATGGCACCCTACCAGTAGGTAACCAATATATCACATGTAGACCTTTCTTCGAGTGTGGCTGTGTGATATAAGTAAAGCTCACCAGATTTTTATTAGAGCGTTTAAGCTCCCGTGACCTTTTGTAAAAATAAAAAATAAAAAAAATAGCAAGCAAGAAATATTAAGAAAATAAGAAGCTAAGTGACGAGGTTGTAAAAGAAATATTGGAGCCAGATGCTGTTGATCCTATGTCTGATCATAACATTGTTGGCTTTACTTGTATTTATTCTTCGCTTATATGGTTGGGGATACTTTGAGCCGGAGTGTCAAAGTTGCCGAAATTTGAGGCTTAATGGCCAACCATCACAACACATTAAAATCAAAATAGCTCCGTAGAGTAATAGAAGAGGAGGTAGATAACAGTGTAACAGAGCCCAATTAATCTATCTGTCGTGGTTGTTGTGCTATCGAATTTCTAAAAGTTGGGTTTTTGGTGAGAGGCTGACCAAATGTCGCACATAACTTCCAGACCAATAATTACCCGATTAGGAGGCGCGCTAGTATAAAATAACCCGATTTGGAATACATCACTGGTTCATGGCCAGTATCTTGGCATAACCTAGCTGATGACAAGTAGTTACTTGATTGGGAAGGCGACCTTCACTGGGGACTCTAGGTGTCCCCAACCATATTAGAGACTTTCAGTTCACCCGAATTTTCGTTTTCAAAGTAAAGGGAAAACTGTTGCAGCTAAAGTTGCGTCTGCTTCTACACCTAACATGTCACGTTCTGGTAGATACTCGATGCTAAATATTCAGTCCTCAAGTATTTCTCGGTCTGCATCTACAAGATGCCCTTTTTATCAATAGTTCAACTCGCTCAGGATAGAGTCTTGGCTGTAGGGTTTCCATTCCACTCCGAAATGGAAAACAGGGCTCAACTAAAAGCCTCTACTCGGGTATGGTTGGGGACACCTAGAGACGGAAGGGTACGACATTGGTCCCCAGTGAAGATCACCTTCCTAGTCTAGTAATTACTTAGCACCAAATCGCACTTAAAATGCCAAGACAGTAGATTTATGCCAAGATATTGGCCAGCCATCAGTGGTCTATTTCCAATCGGGTAATTATGTACTAAAGTACTTCCTAATCGGGTAATTGTTGGTGTGGAAGTGCGACATTCAGTCAGCCTCTCACCAAAAACCCAACTTTTAGAAATTCAATAGCTCAACAACCACAACAGATAGAATTAATTGGGCTCTATTACAGTGTTATTTACCTATTTCTCTACTACTCTACAGAGTCATTTTAATTTTAATGTGCTGTGGTGGTTGGCCATCAAGCCTCGAAGTTCGGCAACTTTGACACTCCGGCTCAAGGTGTCCCCAAGCATACAAGAGTTAAAACCAGAACATGCAATGAGGTTATTTGTATAGGAGTGCGGCGCCACTCCATACAAATAATCCCTGTTTCTTCACTTACATGTTCTAGTTCTTATTGCGACACCCGAGCATTAGACGGGGGACGAAAGGTGAAAAAGCAATTAGTAGTCCATGGGTCATCTAGAGGCGTTAAAACAAGGTTTCATCCCGCGAGGCCGCATGTCTCACCCGCAGCTTCGCACATGTAGTGTAATGCTAGGCCATGAAGTGTGGGGAAAGACGCGGGAAGCATGATCCTTCTCCCGTGATCGTCACAGATCACAAATTGCTGCAGGAAATGTGACAGCGAGTATGCGCATCTTCAATGATGTGCTGAGCGTGGGTGTATTTGTGTCGATGGTGGTAACACTACATGCATTCTAGGTGCTAAGTCAATTGCAATCGAACATAGACTACAGTCGATATGGTGTATTACTAATCAGTATCATTCTTTTACGTTGATTTTCGAATTGAATCTAAGAGCTTAAGGTTGTTCGTAACTAAAAGCGGAGTCAGGTAGCTGTGTAGACGCCTGTCAGATGATGATCTCGGCGATACAGACTTTTATACCGTGGAAAGCATAATCACCATTTCCAATGCCTGCTTAGAAATTGCGCTAATGTATGATTTCTTATTCGTGTCTGTAGCCGTTGTCATCCCTCCATGTCAAGCTTTGTTCATACTTACTATCCTCACTCGTCCGTTAATGTTATAAATCCGTCGACTCGCCGTTCGACCACAACTACCAGCCAGCCTACACATCCTGATATATCCTAACAACAAACCATGGCCTTGACCACTCAACAGATTGCAGGCCTCCAGGTCTGCACACAGCTGTTTCCTTCATCCTCCAAAGCCTACGAAGACTGTCCGGACAGCAATCTTGTCGGACGTCACTTTGGGCATGTGCCGTTTATTGCGCTTCCCATCAACACGCTCTGGCAAAATGGTATCACGTTAAATGTTCGTTTCATGGGTACGGATGGCAGCACATTCGTCAGAGAAAAGGTCAAGCAGTATGCAAACACCTGGATGCGCTTCGCCAATATTAGACTCCGCTTCGTGAACGAAGGCCCCGCTCAAATTCGTATTAGCTTTAAACAGGGCAGCGGGTCCTGGTCCTGGGTGGGAACAGGCAATCTTAGAGTACCTGATAACCAAGCTACCATGAACTTTGGCTGGTTTGACAACAACACTCAGGACTACGAGTTTTCGCGGACTGTGATCCACGAGTTCGGCCATGCCCTCGGCTGTATCCACGAACACCAAAGTCCAGCCGCTAACATCCCTTGGGATGTTGAGCGTGTATACCAGTATTATTATAAAACCCAAGGATGGTCACGAGAACAGGTCGATGTGAATATCTTTCGACGGTACAGTGCGTCAACCACGCGTTACTCGGAGTTTGATACTTTGTCTATAATGCTTTACGCAATTCCCGCTGAGCTCACCACGAATGGTTTCTCCACCGACTAGAATTACGTCCTCTCTAGGATGGACCAAACCTTTATCGCTCGGGTATACCCGCGGAGCCGTGCAAACACCAGTCATTTCTCCATCTCCGACCTACGTGAACCACGCCCGCCAATCCCTTTCAACCAAGAGCAGGTTCTTCTAACTCCGCAGTATTCTTCGCCTCCCCGAGTTGCCATCGGACTCACTGCTCTCGATGTCAGTGCCAATCATGACTTGCGTATCTGTGCCTACGTCGACCGGCTTGCGGAAGATAGCTTTGTAGTTCACTTGGATTCCTGGGGTTCTACTGAGCTGCTCGCAGCCAGTGCCACATGGCTCGACGTCGCTGCAGATGATCCGCACTTTCAGGTCGGTAGCTTCGATACAATTGAGATCCAGTCATCAGAGCAGCCCGAGCAGGCAATTTCGAAACGCATCGACTTTGAACGCACCTTCGCAGACTCGCCCCCTATTGTCCTAGTTTGGTTAAATTCCGTCCATGCCAACAAAAGCCACAACACACGTGTCAAGGTGTACACATCGGACATTGATAAACAGGGCTTCACTATCCACGTGGACACATGGGGCGATTCCATCCTGTATTCAGGGGGGGCTTCCTGGATCGCCTACCCTGCTTCCAGGGCCGGTACGTTCTCTGGTGTAGTCGACATCGAAGGGGAGCCGGGCTTGCAGTGCAATGGTGATGTTTCCTTCCCTATCGCCTTTGCTGAGTCTCCTAATGTTCTGTTGGCGGTGAACTGGATCGACTTTGCTTGTCAAAAGGAGGTTGGGTTCAAGACGTTTGTTGATTGTGCATCAGATAAGGGATTTAAATGGCACTTCAATTTATCTGAAGGTAGCCATTGTTATGGAGCCGGCGTCTCATATCTGGCTCTTGTCTAACTTGTTCGTGCTGGTTGTTCGCTTTCGAAGAGATATGAGTTATTTTGGTCCTGTTTGCTACTTTTGTCCTGCTACTTTCACTTTTGCTACTATTATTTTTCTACTTTTGTTTTGCAACACGATCTATGAAATGATTTCTTCATGTACTGTAGTGGTCAATTGAAAACTCGGTTAGTGCGATATCAAAGTCAATACCTCAGTTACCTTATAAACCGTAATTTGGTTAGTATTCCGGAATTCGTCCGCCTTAGCTCTCTAATAGGTCGATAAATGAATCAAACAACGCGCGCCTTCCCCTACAAAGACAGTTTTGGAAACGAATCGTTTGATATGTTTCTCGAGGGGATCATTTGATTTGTTTCTCGAGGAGATCGTTTGGAAATGGGACGGGGGATGCATTTCTAGGGCCGTTTGATGCATTTCCCTGATGCATTAATCCGGACTTGGTGGAATAGAAGTATTTTTCCTAATAATTCGCACGAATTCCTTCGATGTAAGAATAAATAGGGAAAGCACTATAATCATTCATAGCTTGAGTGATAAATTCTAGGTTTTCTTAGCTGAACAACTTAGGTTCAGCTCTCCTATTTTCCGGTTTTTTTTTTGCACCTAAGAATTGTATGTACACACCTCGCATATGGCTGCTACTTTGGGAATTATGCATTCTAAATATGTCAAGAAAATAGTTAAGAAAGATCCATTTTTCAGATGCCTTTCTACGGGTGGATTCATTTCTTCGGGACTTGGTCTCCGACCCAAATGGTCACTTTGCACACACATTTCCCACAGTAAACATTACGTGGTAAAAAGGATGCAATTCTTGAGTTGTTTCCTGGCGGCACTAGAGACTGCCCCCCGTCGTCTAAAGCTCCGGCGCTGTGCTTGCTTGCTATAGGGCTTTGTCATAACAGTTGCGTCACTCGCCGCAGTACTCTCCGGAATTAATAGATAAATAAAGAAATTAACCTGTCATATATTTCTATAGCTGATAGGCTGCATACAATTGGTGGGTTAAACAAAAAAAATATTAACTGATGGGATCCCGCCTCGAGTGATCGACTGTGATGCTGAGCCGGAATCCCGCTAGTACAACGACGTTGACTACCGTATTGCCCAAATACAAGTACCACACTCAGGAAATAAAGCTCCGCAATTTGTGTGTCATGCCATGTGGCGGAGGATAATTTCTTTGAAGGGGTCGATTGAGCGATTTCAATTAGTCGGAAAATTGATTTATGTCTTTGTCAATGTTCCTTTATTATTCTCTGAGACTGATATACGACATTTTCTATGAATACGGGACATTTCCCCTTTAGCTATTCTTTATATGTTGATGGCGGTCTAAACTCATTGATATCACGAGGTGGGGACTCTGCGGGAATAGTCCAGGAGCGACGCCGGACGCGGATGTTCTACCTCAAACATACACCTTCGGTTACGATGAGATTGCCAGAGCAACGGTGCCCAAAGGTTTCTCGTGTTGTAAGGTTTCTAAATTAACGGACTTTTGCTTCTATTATGTGCGAGATCTGATTTATAAAGATATGCGCCGAGTATGCTGGCATTCAAAGCGTTTTCGAGAATAATTCAGCTAGAACTAGATAACCACATAGTCTTTTTTTTAAACCACAGGGTGGTTAAAGTCAAACCACACAAGGGCATTTTAAAAGACACCGCGGTTTAAGTTAACGGCAAAAGACTACAATGCCATAGAATCTTTTTATATATATCCACGACGCCACAACAAAGCGAATGCCACAATAGGCGAAATCTTTTGTATCCCCCGCCATCACTACTAGCAAGGTCTCTTAGAATTTGGGTCACGTGTAGATCGCACAAGGTGGAAAGGGTAGAGAATCCACCTTCACTCTCCTCTTCACTCTCCTCTATCTCTCTGATCCTCACGTGAGCCAAATTCTGAGCGACCTTGCTAGTAGTTGGACGTGAGTGATAATCCCAGACACGGATGATAATCCATGACGACGAGTGATCCATGAGGACAAGTGATACACCATGAAGCGCCCACTTCCCCGATCCCGACCGACACAACACCGCTTGCAGTCTATTTCCCCCAAAGATTCAATTGTACTGTTATTAAAACAGATAGTGTAAGGATTTGAGAACAACCAAGTTACACACTGCCGCACCGCAATATATAACGCCGATTCAATTCAAGCGAGCAGATAGATATCGGGGTGCGCCCAGCGGGCTGTTAACTTTCCTCCGGCGGGGCAGAAATTTTGAATAGTTGGGGGTGTGATGAAGATGACTGAATTGATGATTGAAGGGTGCGGGTCACGTCCCTGTTAAGTATATACAAGCTGGGTACGAACCCCTTTCATACTAGTGACTTGAGCATTACTCCAACAAGGAACTTATCATGTGTGATCATATCAAGTACTAGGAGCCTAGCTAAAGCCTAGTCATGCGAGATGCTCCATTACCACCGCCACCGCCACCAGCGATGGGGTGCCAAATGTGGGGTTCCCGCGGGGGGGGGGGGGGCTGTTCACTTATAAAATAACACGCCGATGAAACAAGTCGATCGATCACCCTGCCTGGTCATGCTGACATCCCCACCCGCGCGGCGTTGCGGTGTCTTTGCCTGACTTCCGGCCGTATATAATACAAATTCGCAGCCCTAGCTAGCTGCCCGTGGATGATACGGCCGGCCATGGGCTTCCGGATGTGTCAACTGCAACAGTGAATGAAGAGCTGGTTATCCTTTGTTAATCCCGTGTATAAGGAACTCTGGTGGTGTTTTCTATGTGTGGAGTGATTCTTTCGGTGGCCGGAGGGGGAAAAGAAAGAATTGGAGCAAGACAGACAGAATAGGGGGCGGGGGACTACAGTTGGGCATGCATACATGTCTCGTGGATACTTAGAAGTGCGATGGGCAATGTTATTCTTGGTATACAGTAATATGTGGCTACGTACTGAACGTACATTGCTCTTGCCATATCGGCTGCATATGATGCTAGCCGTTCTATTTTATAACCGGTCATCCCGATCGAGCAGCAAAATATATACGTTCTTGAACAATTCTGTTTCAATTTTCTTAGAACTATCCATAATATAATAACCATAGGTGGAGTCGAAGCCATCCCCCCCCCACCCGCGGGGTGTTCGGCCGACAAACACACACCACACACCCCCACTATGAAGTCGTTGGATATTAGCATCAAAACCATCCATACCTGCCTAATCTCACTGAACGAGCATCCATAATGTAATTCGGACCTATCAATCATATAACCATAAATTAATGAGATAAACAACAAAAACAAAAAACATATATCATACATAACCCTAACCCTGACCGGCGGAGTTTCAAATATGGTAGCGGGTGCTCCCCGCCGCCGCCGCCGCTCGCAAATAATTGGATAAGTAGCTAACCATAAGAATCGAGGGTTTATGACAATACATGGGTTTAGGATATTGGCAATTTCCAAGTGCGCCCTCCTCTCGGGTTTGCGGGGGAAGGAGAAACATCCCAATGTATTGTCTTGTTTTGTATTGTGTCGGTAATAGGGGTCGCGGGGGGGGGGGGGGATATCGAAGGCCTTTTTAAACCCTGGAGAAGAGTGGATGGAGAGAGGCAGGATCGATGGATATACACGCATTGAATAGTCTTTACCTTTCCCCATTATCAGAGTACTACTAGTACTGGAGGGAAAGAAATGAATCCAGCACGTAGATCAACCTCCCTACCACTACTACTCAAAGCTTAAGAATAATAATATCCCATTAATCACAAAACATACGTAACATTTCCGCCAATATAAACAAATACCCCAAAAAGAACATTCAACAGTGCCCATGAACAAACACCACTACAAAAACCTAACCCTCCACTACTACCTCTCCCGCCTGCGTCTCCCCCGTCTTCGCCGCCTTCCCCCCCACCGCCGGCGCTCTCAACTGCAAATACCCCTCCACCGCCGTATACGGCCCCCCCTCAAACCTCGGCCTCCCATCCGTCTTCTCAATCCCCAGCGGCAAAAACCCCTCCCCCCCCCCGTCCCCTGCACATACGGCTGCAACCACGCCCACTCCGCCACCCCCACCGGCACGCCCACTCCAGCGCCGGGCACCACCGCCCCCTTCTTCGCCAAATCATACCCCGCCGCCAGCGCATGGCTCTCATTCCCCGTCCACGGCGGCACATCGCCCGTCAGCAGCACCGGGCCAACCCTAAAGAACGCCGTCATCTTGTCCATCGCGCCCTGCCACGTCCACGGCGGCAGCACCAGCGCCGCCGGCGGCAGGAACGAGCTGTAGGCGTGCACGGGCGCGAAGGGGTCCACGATGGCGCCAAAGATGCTCATGTTTGCGATGCGCAGCGTGTCGATGTCTGCGGCGGTGGCCGTGGATGGGTCGGGCCAGAAGGGGGCGAAGGAGGGGTATGCGGTGCTGTCGATGTCGACGACGGCCTTTCCACCGGCGCCGAAGAAGGAGTGGACGGCGGAGAGGTCGAGTGTGAGGCGGCTGGGGGGCGGTGTTGGCGGTGTTGGCGCGGAGGGGAGGAAGTATCCGACGAGGCCGTCGTACGACCGGTTTGCGTCCCCGAGCTTGACGGGGAAGGTGTATGTCTTTCTGCCTGGGTCCTTGGGGTCCGTGAGGAGGTACCGCTCGGGGAGGAGGTTGTTGTTGAGCGTGGACTGCTGCGTGAGCGCGTCCGTGGTAAGCTCGAGCGACCACCCCATCGCCGTCAGCGCCAGGGGCTTGCCGACAATGGCAGTGAGGAACTCTGCGTATGCCGTTGGGGCAGCGGGCGCTTTCGACAGCGCCTCTGAGATCATGACCATGAACGACTCCAGCCACTCCTGGTCGCTCTGTATCTGCGCCGCCAACTGGTCGAGTCTCTCGTCTGCCGCCGTCGGCGGCGGAAACGGTAGCCACTTTGGCGACGGATTCCCTGTGTCCTGCCCGCCCAGGCGCACCTCGGTGTAGAACGTGCCGGCGGTGGTAAACAGCTGGATTCCGCGGTCGGGGTAGTTGATGACGATCCATCCCCAGATGGGGTTCTCCCACTCTGCGGCCGGCCGCCAGTTTGTCCCCGCCTCGTTCTCCATGAGGAACCACGACGACAGGCGCGCGGGCTGGTTAATTGCCGGCGGCAGCTGAATGTACTCGCACACCCCCGCCGCCTCCTGCGTGATCCCGTTCGCAGTGCCATCGGGTAGCATGGCAGGTGCATAGAAGTCGCTGATGGCCGGGTAGAGCGGGGGCGGCGTCTGTTGGGACGGGTCGATGGCGCTGATGGCCTGTCCGAAGCGGTCGATGATGTTGAGCTTTGTAAACCGCATCTGGCCGTGCGTGACGGGCTTGAACGCGCAGTGCGTGGAGCCCAGAAACTGCACGAGACTGCCGTACGGTGTTAGGTCTGTGTTTTTCCCAATCTGCGACATCATGGCGGGCGTGAAGCCGATTTTCGTCGCGGCCTTCACCGCCTCCGCGAGTGGCGTGGGCGCCGCTTTGGGCCGCCGGACAAGCGGCTTGATGTGTGTGCCCTGCACCAGCGTCAGAAGGTGATCCGTCAGCCCCGACAGCGGTGCTGATAGGAACGGCAGCTCCCACAGAGTATCGAGTAACTTCTTCTGTTCCGGCGGCTTGATGACTTTGTTGAGGATGTGGTGCGGCGTCGACTTGAACAGCTGCTCGAGCTTCTCCACCAGCGAGAAGTTTGGCTGCGGGAGGATCAGGACGCGGCCGGAGAGCGTGCGCTTATCGTCCAGCTGCTTACCCTTGGGATTGGTCTTGGTGTTGGTGTCGTAGTTGTACAGCGGCATGTAGTCATCCGAGATGGCCCAGCGGAGCTGCGCGTGTGTGGCGCCGCGGCTGGTCTTTTCCTCGAGCGCCCACCCGTCGTACGGGATGTGCGTGTACTCGACCTCCCACTCGAGGAAAAGCGGGAACCAGGGCTGCGTGCTGTTCCAGCGGTCGCGCCAGGGCTCGGGGGCGGCGGGGCGGCGCTGCTAGGTTTCGTGGCGGGGCCAGTGTCGTGGAAGAGTGGGTAGCACTCGGTGCTGACTGGGAGTGGGGGAGTGTCGCAGCCGTGCAGGAGGAGGAACTCGTTGAGGAGAGCGGCGGCGGTGGTTGTAAGCTCCGCGGTTGGCATCTTGCTGGCCACCATCGTGGAGAAGTCGGCCCAGCCGGCGGGTTGCGAGGGCGGCGATGGGACGGTGGTTACTACCTCGGACTGGAGACGGACGACGAGCTTCTTGAGGTAGTCTACGGGCCACCCGCTCTCGATCCCGCCGACGATGAGTGTTGGGTCCCGCGTCTGGAAGGCCGGCGGCGTTGCGGCGGCCTTCACCTTCAGTGGGCTTAGGTGTGTCGTTGCAGTGTTGATGTTCTGCTGAAATGTATTCATCTGGCCCTCGAGCTTACTGATATCATTACTGAGATCCCCTGCCCTCTTCGTATACTCCGGCTGGTTTGCCCTCTTGTCAGCCTTCACGAGCCCCACATACTCCCACCACACCCCAAACAGCTCCCACCGCTTCCTCTCCACCGCCATGGCCGCCATATCATACGCATAGCTATTCTGGTTCAGCGTCCTCAACGTATCAATATTATCCTGTGTCGGGACCATTGGCGATGCGCTGTCCCCACCCGCCGGCGCCCCACCATTTGCCGCAACAGCAAAATGGTACTGCGTCCCCGTCTTTGTCCGCACATAGTTACCGGCACTCAACTCGTCCGCCGCCTGGCGGACATCATCAACGCTGTCGCTCTGCGCCAGCAGCAGCGCCTGCAGCCTAAACAGGTGATTCTCGAGCTCCTTGACGTCATGCGTCGCCGCCGCGTCGTCCTTGTGCGCGGCAACATATGCTAGCAGAGCGTCCAGCGGGGTTGTGCCCACTGCGACGGGCATGTCCCCCGCCAACAACATCCCCTGGTCGTCCGCGGGGGTGTTTGTTGGCCGCCCCGCGTGATCCCACTCGACATCATAGATGGCGCCATGGCACAGCAGGCGTGTCCCCGCCGTGTTCTTCTCATCCATGAACGCCGTCACATCGGGTGTCCCCGCCATCGCCGGCGGGAACACCATATTCAGCGCCTCCAGCACCGCGGTGTGGTTCGGCGGCGTCGTCGCCGCAGGGTCAACATAGAACAGGTCCTGCGTCGGATCCGAGTGCCAGCCGAGGACATAGTAACTCGCGGTGACGTTCTCCGCCTTCTGGGTGTTCCCGTACGCATCGACGTAGTCGAACCCGTCACACATGCTAAACACATTCCCGTTATGGGGCTGGAAGTCTGCAAAGAGGTGGTTGGCGCTGTTGACGAGACACAGCGGCACGCGGGAGGCATCGGGGTCCTCTTTCCACCCGGAGGCGTCGGCGCGGTAGCCGATGAAGACTTCGGCCTGGGTGCTGATGTCGGGGTCGGTGTTGGCGCCGCCGGGGTCGATGAATGGGCTGACGTCGGTCTGCAGGTCGACGGTGGCGTCGAGGTCGTCGATGAGGCGCTTGCGGTCGCTCTCGATCACCCAGGCTTGCAGGAGGGGGAGTTGGGTCTGGGCGGTGGTGGGCAGGATGGTGGTTGCGTCGGTGATGACACGGACGACGAGCCAGCGGACGGGGGCGGAGATGAATGATGGAGCGGAGTTGTCGACGGGCGGGGTGGGAGTCGGCGTGGGCGAGGGCGTGGGCGAGGGCGAGGGCGGCGACGGGGGATTCCTAGTAGACGCCGACCCAGCACGGTAGACCCGCGGGATCAGCCAAGTGAGATACACACCGACGCGGTTCTCGCGGATTGTGTTGGCGCCGAGGTCATAGAGGCGAGGGTTGCGCCCGTTGACGCCGGCGGTGTGCAGGTCGGTGAAGGGGACGATGTCCGGCTGTAGGACGTCAGCGCTGAGGCGCAGGAAGGTGTAGTTTGGCTGGGTGATGGGGGCGATGAGGGAGGGGTGGTTCTCGATTGGGTAGCTGATTATGGAGTTGAGCGCGAAGGCGTCTACTTTGAGCGGGATGAGGACGGTGGGTTGGGGTGGGGGGGGTGATGCCGAGCGCGGAGGTGGGGCGGCCATGGCGGCGGCGGGCGGCGAGGTGGTGCGGCGAAAATGAAGGAGCTAAGAGGGAGGTGGATTGGTTGTTTGATAGTGGGGGAAAGTCTCAATCTCGTTCAGTGCACCCCCAGCGTTGGCATTAACGTAGTGGGCAGAGGATAGGACAGGAATTGAAACTAGTCTCATTCTCAGTTCAAGACTCGAGGGGGATATACAACATACCGGTACACGGCGGGGGGGAGAGGAGGAGGGACCAGAGGCACGCCAATGATCATTCATCCGTCTGTCCCCCCACCCGTCCCACCCCCCGCACCAGTCCTCGTGCTCTAGAGCTAACTGCAGCCACAACCACCACGGGAAAGTGCTAAAGATTACACATTGGCGCATACGCAATCATGCCACAGCTAAAGTGTCTACATGTAGGTACTCTACCTACACCGGACATCTAGCTCCATGCCTGCTGGCATGCCTGCCACGCCACGGGACCGATAACTAATCCGCCTCCAGCCCCGCTCTCGCTTCGAAGAACGGCTGGGCTGGGCTTCAGGGCAACGAACCACTCGTACGATAATGTCGGAAATGCCGCGTAGCGTGTGCAAGCTGAGGAGTATGTAGTTACCTACATGTAGTAGTAGTAGCACAGGTACGTACATACTCTATGCTGGCTTCCACCGTTTGGTAGCGGCGGTTGCACCAGGGCATCACCGCGCGAATTCCACGTAGGTTTGTTCCATGGCTTAAGCCACCGGCGGTTCGGAACCCCTGGCGGTGGTGGAGGGTGGTGGCTTGTGACCTGGAGTGTGGGGCAGTGGACCCTGCAGCGATGGTGGGGTGGATCCTGCAGAAGAGAGATGTGGGATGGGATGGACCCGTGTGGTGGGGCATGGTGATACAAGATGCACTCCATCCATGCTGCATGTCATGCCGGGACATACAGATGTCTCACATTGATCTGGATCTTCAGCTGCCAAGATGGAGAAACCAAGTTAGTGATCACAGTCTGTCAAATTCGCGACCTGGACCGTGCACCACTTAGTACTCTAGGGCAATTGTCTTGCTTTTTACGGCTGGCAACAAGCGCAGAGCCAATCAAGAACTTACAACAATTACCAGAACTAGGCTAGTGACAGCTAAAAGAGGTAGAGTATATGCAAGTAGGTCGCGAATTTGACAAGATTCATCCGTTCAAGGGATAGTGAGACTAAAGTTGTTCAACATATACAGATCTCGCAGCTTGGCTGTTCCTTGCCACACTTGGAGTCCTTGTTCAGAACCGTCATGCAAGTGGCAGTATTCGCCGTGAAGAGACGGTGAAAGGCTGTAACTGTGTTCCATACTCTATGTGGACACTGGACACCTTTCTCTCGAGGATCTAGCTCAATGATCGAACATGACAACTACATGTATCGATCCTGTCTCTTTGAAATATAGAGAACCTCCTCCTTCCACGCACCTTCCTCTCTCCTCGACCCTCACTCCTCACTGGCACAACCATCATCACCTTAATTCCCCAAACACCAGATCCGAGCCCCACCGCACAACAGAAATGTTCACGAACGCAATGACCGCCGTCGCCGCGATCCAAAACCCCCTTGTGCCAGACACCGACCTCAACGGGGCGGAAACCTGGCTCTTCTACATGACCAACAACAACAACTTCGCTATGCAGCGGCGCTTATCCGGGTCCCAAGACCCAAATGTTCCCATCGACATCCCCACCGGCGTCCTCTGCAACCCCTCCACTTTATGCGCCCTCCGCTACAAAAATGCCGTAAGTCACTTCACCCCCCCCCCCCTCCGGGGGGCTCTCACGCCCTCACCCTAATACACTTCACCGCTAACAAAATAACAAATATCTCTAGGTCGAGGCCTACGGAATGGTCGCAGGTAAAGACCCGGAGTACAACCTAATCTATATGCTCTACGCTATCTCACCGTTCTACCGCTGCCTCGGCTACTCAACCTATATGCCCGTCAACGCCGCCTGCGGTGACGGTAAGGAGCTAGGCTGGATCTACTGCTTGAAGTAACGTTCCCACACACACACACACCCCTCTCCCTCTGCCACCGCATTCAAACTGACGCGACGCAGCAACGACAAGCAGCAGCCGACATTGTATGAGCTACCACTCACCGGCGGGCCCACACCACAGATAATGGGCCTCCCGCGCCCTCTGGTTACTTCGTACCTTGCGGCGTGCTACGAGCCACACCTCCAAACGCGCTACGTCTTCTACCAGGGCCTAACAAACGATCAGTCCTCGCAGATCATCCACTGCTTCCAAGCCGACAGCTCTACCGGTGCGTTCCCCACCTCCCCCTCGTCCTCTCCCCTAACCCCCCCCCCAAAAAAAAACGAAAAGGGAGGAGGAAGGAAACCCGCATCGCTAATACCCCCGCGTGAGCACTAGACCAGCCGGTCGACAGCACCTACGACATCAAGACGGACAACAGCCCGCTAGCCTGCTGCGTGATCCCCCGCGCCTCCGGCGCCGGGAACCTAGTAGTGCTATACTTCACGCAGAACGGCGGCACCTTGCGGCGCTCCACGTACGATCCGGCGACTAACAAGTGGACGGCGAGTAGTGGTTCGGCAATGTCGCAGGCGCCACTGGTCGACCAGGCGTCGCAGCTCACAGTCATGCCGGATATGACGATGAAGAAGATTAGAGTCTTTTTCGTCCAGAAGACTAACCCGACGGGTGGGTTTACGCTTTGGGAGGACGATTATGTGCAGGCGGATTAATTTAGACCGGGGTGTGTGCTCGTGGCGCGAGACGGCGAGGGGCGGGAAGGGGGCGGGGGGTGCGGGTGAGGGGTGTGGAGTCTGGAAAGGATGGCGACCCGCCAGATTGCCCCAGAACCGCCGGCAATAGTATGCATGTGTTTTATTTATCTATGTATATATATCAATGGGAACGGAAATTATGAGGAAAATGTCCCCCGGGAATCCGCAGTGTCTGGTCAAAATAGTAAATAATATGATAACCCCTCCCCCCCCCGGGGGAAGCTTTTGCAAACCTCGGCCGTGGGGGCTTCTTTCCCGGGTCGGGTCGGATCTGGTCTTCTTGAATCTTGTCTGTCCTTGGCAGAACAATTTGGGTGCAAATATATAGACAAAAACCTCACGGCATCCCTCTGCGCGCATGATCGAGCAAAAAAAGCAAGCATATCAGCTGATATTGCAAAAGCCCCAAGAGCCACCACATGAATTGCCATTTTCCACATAACCAATAACTCCATATTAAGAAATCTCGCCCACATATACAAGGCCGGCCGGCACAAATTCTCGCCATAGGCTCTCTCCCGCGGTGAAATCAATCAGGTCAATTATCAATTATCAATCGCCACCAATCACTCAATTCACCAAGTCACAGCCACAGTCACAGTCCTCCCCGCCCCTCCTACCGCCCCCCGACTGAAAAATAACCAACATTCAAATCGCGATAGCAGACATCCGCACGATAATCAATCACCTATCCAAGTAGTTTCATCCCCTTCCGGAACCTTCAGAACCTCCAAAAAGCCAATGTAACCCCAACACTAACATACCGCCAACCAGCTATAAGTACTTTACGTACGTGCAGTCGGTTATATTGTACTCCGCACTCACTCACACACTCGCTCATGTAGCCAGCTGACTGGCTGGAACCTAGATCATAGCCTCCCTCCCACGCGCAACGCAGGCGGTGTGGAGTGCCCGGTGGTGCGGCATGTATTCGGCGGGGGACCAGGGGAGGGTGGTCGGCCGGTGCGGGTTAGCTTATACACTCGGATCCGCTGTGTTCTGGTGGTTCGTGTTGCTGGTGGGAGATGATGGGTGCTGGCGGGAGCGGGGTATGATGGGTGCTGGTTGGGGCGGGGACGGGAGCGGGAGCGGGAGCGGGTATCGAGGAAAGAGGCAGAGTAGTAATACTGAGGGCTAGATTCAGCGGTTTAAAGGGGGTCTTTCTAGACTGTATTTTACCGGCTCCTCTGGTGAATAGACGTGACGCCCGCCGGCCCTTGTACATATGTAGCTGCGCATATCATGGGGAATTCTGTGCTTGAGATATAAACAGCACAGCGCGGCAGAGCAATATTTATATTGAATTCTTTCCGCGTGTCCTGCCTCCTGGCTTAGCGAAGTCGGTTCAGTAGGCAGGCGGGTAGGGAGGTTGGTAGGTAGGTGGGGCTCACAGCTGAAGCTCAACCGTCAACCTCTTGAGCACGCGGGCTTGCGGGGATTTAATTAAGGCTCCAGCGCGCACGTTAGCGAGCTGGCGCAGCACACACGCATGAGAATGTATTGTTTCAGTCCCATAGAACAAAATACGATTGAACTGCGTATAGGTTTCGCTTTTTAATGTAATCTGCAACCTATACCATGATTAGAGGGAGAAGGGGTTGTCCGATTACTGGCTGCACCGAGCGCAGGGATAGAAAGACCCCAACTTTGTATCCGGCGTCTGGCCAAAAGATACAACTGTGGTATGTAGCAATAAGTCGATGTAATTAAACATACTAAAACTATGCGTGCAAAAATTCTGTAAAGGGATGAAACATACTTAGACTGCTTTTGTAAAGAAATTCCTCATGCGGGGTTGGCACATATTTTAGATATTCCAAATACGGCAAGTGTAGATATCCAAACTCTCAAATCTTTTTTCTAGGTGGTTGCTTTGTTCTTTCATTTGAAAACACATAACAGTTACAATAAGGAATCTAAATCATTCAAACCAAATGGAATGTGTTGACAAGATAGAGATCACCTCATCAGGTTTATAGAACAAACAGATAATGGTTGTTGCTGCTAGAAAATTCACTGTGAGAAGTTGTACTTTTATTTTGTATGGAGATGATGGTTGCCACTTACACTGATGGACAGTGTGGGGATAAAGAAAAATAATAAAAATACCTGCCTAACCTATTTTGGTAAATCTCTGATAGGCGTGCGGTTGCTCGGAGTGTCGGAGAGCAAACAGCGTTGCTGGACTACGAGCGGATGGACGGACGAGCGGACAGTGGACAGCGCTGCTTGACAACGAGCAGTGTCACGCAATAAGTAGTTAAAATAATAGAATAATTAAGTACATGTGCTCACTCAAAGTCCACTTGGAGTAACCTGCCGGTAATATCAGAAATAAATTCATTTAATCTAGAAATTTCATTCTCAAATTCAGTGATTCTCTTCTTGAATTCCCACAGAATATTGCATTGTCAGCTTCTACCATTACGTAAACAGTTGTTACAGCAAGAAATAACTCTGCCTATCTAATCTAGCTTCTGAACACAGTAGGCCCAACCGGCATGTTTACAAGTATCGAATATAGGTATGTTGATTCTAATTAAATTTTGGAGATTACGTTTACGAAAGGTTTATCAAGGCAGTCAGCAGAATGTTTGGCGATAAATTTATCATATAGAGAAACACCATTGGCAACAGGATAGGCAGAAGTACGATTAGGAGTAGGAGTAGACATGTTGAGAATCCGTAGGTATTATATTATAAGAAAAGGGAGAAGGGAACTATAAATAATTGGGTGCCTAGATCTTCGAACCCAGTATAAAATTTGATCCTGATATACCAGTCGTGGTGGAGAGCGGAAGGAGAATACTCAGCGGATTGAAGAACGGAAGGACCGCACTCTTGCTACTGCCACTCGTGGTGTTGACAACGTGGGCGTGGCGGTGCTTCAATATCAACCCATCACGATCTGTATACAGTCGACCTATCACTACCGTGTCTTCGTACTTACCCACAACCCCCGGTACATCTTGTACGGATCGAGTGATATTACATGATTCAGTCCCCTGCCCGAGCAAGAATGAATCTAAAACTCGGAGAATATATATGCCAGCACCTAAGCTCGCTCCATTGTAGCGCATGTGTTACAGCTGTACTTGTTATTCGACTCGTTAGTGGCGATCAAATGCCACTGGTCAGGGATTCCCGTGGGGTTGGTGCTTTGGGGGTGATTAGGTTATTGCAGTACCACATTGTCGCTTGCATCGAGAGTTGCAATGAGGATCATAGTTCGTCAAATTAAGGTTCGACGTCCATGCATGTATCATGCCCATTCAATGGGGATATGTGTATGTACTCGCATCTTCCTGACGTTTTCGAACTGAGCAACTATTGCTTACACCAAAAATAATTAGCTTGGCGTATTTTTGTATGGTATGCAATATTGGTCGCGTCCACAACCGTTAGGAAAATATGAGTACATGTATGTGAACATGAGAATATGTATAGATTGAAAGTTTCCGGTAGTGTTTCGGCCGCGCAGAACGGATACATCTTGGAATTAAGTACAGCAAAACCTTTCATAATTACACCGCCGTGGTGGCCAGGTTTTGCTGGGATCATCAGAGGGATGGGATTTAGAGAGAGACAACTGTTAGCAAACTATAGGTATCGTTCCCCCCAACCGCTGGAAGTTTGGTAGCGGCGGAACTTCGACAGTGTGGAATTATGCCTACCAAGTAACCCTAACCCTGGGAACACCCATGGCTCGGATTCTGAGAATATATGAAACGAGTCAGTCCATCTGTCCAAGGCCTCGAGCCAGACTGTACGAACAGACTATCACACCCCTTCCGTCGTCGCAGGATGTTCAGGGCGCGCGGAACAAGGACACCTAAAACTACTTCTTGGAATACCAACTAGCCAGAGGTCTAGAGTTAGGACGATGGATCGATGGGGAGATCTTGGCATAGTAGCTAGCTATAGCTACGTCCCTGCAGATATGCAGTTTCCACAGGCACCTATAACTCGCCCTTTAATTCTTTGCACTTGCTCATGGCGCAGACGCGAAACACCCCAATTTGGCGCTTAAACTCGCGTGTGGTGAACATTAAAACCGAGCGAGATCTAGTCACGACCGATATATAGATCCCAATATAACTCTATGGTCTTCCTAGTGTACATATGTGGGCGCATTGCCATTCCCCTCACATCTACAATCCCGCTGGCGGTTAGCTAGCCTATATATACATATCGCCCGCTTTCAACGGGGCTACGCACGGATCTTTGGGTGTTTCTCATATATCGGCCGCCCAGTCGTTGCCTGCGCGGCCTTCTCCATATTATGCCTTTAACCCATGCAAGAGAACAGAACAGAGCGCACACCTTCCATCGATCGATCCTTGGTCCTGCGCGGCAGTGTGGCAGTGGTGTAAACCTCTAAACTATGGGCACGGTGATATATCATGGTTGCTAATTTTGGGTTAACTGGCGCGCGCGAATATGGGCTTTGGAATCTTGGGCGGTCACTCGGGGGGTGGAGACATCGTTGTGGGGGACCTACCCGGCCTGTGGGCAGACTGGAAAGCGGCGGTAGGTGAGAAAATGTTAGACAGTAATAGCGATGGCGAATTGGTGGGCGGGAGGGGGGTAGAAGAGGTTGATAAAAACACAGCACCTGGGTGCATGGTCCGAAATACACAGAATTCCTATACCATACTCATTCTAATTTCTCCCGCGCAGCACTTTCTACCCACATAGCTCCTAACTACAAATTAAACCAACTACATAGCTACATACCTACACTCTCCCACCCAAAAACAAAACCTCCAACTCGCCATTCCAGACAGACCTCCATTATTGGAATGAAACCCCCCCCCCGCATCAGTAATGCCAATGATAATTCTGACCTCCAAAGCCAAAATGATCTCCATTAGCTTGATCCTCGTCATTTTGCGCTTCATCCCCCGGGCTCCCCATGAGATTCCAGTCGAGCTGTGGTAGGAAGTTCCCGTTTTCCGGGCTGTACCCGTTACCCTGGTTGTTGATTGGGTTGTTCATGGCGAATAAATAGCTGCCCTGGTTGTTGAAGAGGTTACTCTCGGCCATGTTCGCCTCGAGGAAGTTATTGTTGTCCTCGCTGTTGAAGATATTGTTCTCATCGTAATTCTGGTTCCCTTGGTCGGGCGTTGCGAGGTCCAAGCCAAGGTTTAGTAAAATTCGGTCGAGAGCCTCGCGCTGTTCGGCAGTGAATTCAGTTTCCGGTAATGGGCCCTATGCACGCCGTCCATGTCAGTCCGTCCATCTCACTCCTACTCATCGCATGCAGCACACCGGGGGTGTGGGGTAGTAATGGCAGTGGGGGGGGGGGGGGTGGTGGGGATTATATCTATACCCTTAACCCCAATCCCACAATCTCTTCCTCCTCCTCCACCGGCTCCGGCTCCTCATCCAGCGTCGCCATTGAGCGAATATCAGCGTCCAAATCCACCTCATTCTCCTCACCTGGTATCGGGGCATCAAGCAGAGTACCGAGATTATTAAACTGCATACCGTCTGGGTACCCATTACCCAGCGCATTCCAGAGCCCTTGCGCCGTGTCCCATGCCGGCTCCTGATCCTCCTGCTCGCTATCCCCGTGCTGGCCCTCGTCGTCCGAGTCGATGAAGTCGTCCGACTCGTCATCACTGTCCCTGTAGGTCCCACTCGGGTCAAAGTAATTGACGGGGTCGTCGTTGACATATAGATACGTGTTGAGGCCGTCGAGGATGCCGATGGGGTCAGGCGAGAGCCACCGCCCGAGCCAGGGCATGTAGTACCGCGCACTGCAGTACAGCAGGCCGGTCTCGGTGTCGTGTGGGTAGCGGCGGTAGCGGTACTTGCTTGGGGCGGTGGTGAGGCGGCTGCAGGCGGTGAAGACGGAGGTGCCAAAGGGGGTGTATTCGGAGTAGGAGATGAGGTTTCCATCGGGATCAAGCTCGAGGGAGGTGCTGGGGTGGTACCGGATCAAGGTGTCGGGTGGGGGAGTGTCGGGATCATTGTCACCGCCGCCGCCACCGCCGCCGGAGGTACTGCGGGCAGAGGAGGATCCGGAGGGGATAGTGATAGACTCGACGAGAGCGATCCGTTTTGTCCCAACGACCTCACTCGTAATCATCTCCGACTTGACCGTCACCCCGTCGCTGCCAAAAGTCCTAAATATCTCGCCCAGCGGAAAATACAACGTCTCCTTCATCCTCCTCGGCGCCTCACCGTCTTTTCCCGCACTCTCAGTAACCTTCCGGACCCGCACACCGTCGCTGCTATAAACATACCACGTCGTCTCTGGCGTCTTCCCCTCCCCCTTCCTGACCACCTGCGTCGCCGACGACCTCAGCCGCTCATTATAGTCCCAGCCCATCTCAGAGAAACCGGGCATTGCAGTGACACACCCAGAGGCGCCATACGCATAGTTCTCCGCAAACCTTCCGAGCTCAGTCCTTGATAGGCGGTTTCCGCGGTATTCGCCGCCGCCGCCGCCGAGGAGGAGGCTCGGCTCATCGTAGACGAACCTTCGGGTCCAGCCCGACACCAGGGGGTCGTTGGCCGCCGAATGCGTCATCTTGAGCATGTTTCCGGCAGGGTCATATTGGTAGGTCTCGACATACTCACACAACTTCGTAGCGTCCGCAGGGAGCGTGCTGATCGCCGAGGGCGATAGTGGCTGCGGGGCTCTGAATCGCCGTCCGCCGTCGCCGCCATCGGCGCAGTCGAGCTGCTCGCGGCCAGTGGCGGCGACGAGGCGGCCGAGGGCGTCGTACGTGTAGTCGCACGCAGGGTCGATCCTGCAGTTGCGGAAGAAGACGGCCTGGTGTGCGCTGTCGACCGTGTGCGTAATTCGGCCGAGACAGTCGTGGGTGTATGTGATATCCTCCAGGACGGCGTCGCCGCCGGATGACTCCCGGACTGTCCGCTTCCGCGTGAGGAGCTGGGTGCAGCGGTCGTATGTGAAGGTGGAGGAGCAGGCGTTTCCGTATGCGATGCGGAGCGGCTGCCCGTTGGGGTCGTAGGTGATGGAGGTGATGTAGGCGGTGAAGCCGGGGTCGGTGGCGGAGCGCCAGTGCACGGATTGGAGCTCGCCCATGAGGCCGAAGGTGCGCTTTGTGATTGCGCCGTTGTGGTCTGTGGACCGCACGGGGTGGTCGAGGGCGTCAAAGTGGACGGTGGAGGTGTAGATGTCGAGATGGAGGGCGACCTCGAGAGGATTATTCCAATTCAGCGTGGTTTTATACTCGACGGCCGTCTGGGCGGAAGAGCGGGTGCAGTTTCCCTTGAAGTCGAAGCTGATATTGGTCCGTAGGCCCGACTGGTCGTACGTTCGAACTGGCCTTCCCTTCAGGTTGTGGGAGAGGGCATGGCCCTCGTCTTCCAATTCTTCTCCGTAGACCGTGCGCCTGACAAGGAGTTCCTGAGTGGTGTTGCTGCTGTTCTCGGCGGCATCAATGACCCAGCTCTCCTTCTCCCTGCGGAGAGCATCATAGGTAGTTCTTCTCCGCACGCCACGGCTATTCCATTCCAACAGTGGATTCCCATAACAGTCGAGGAACGCCCACCTCTCTCCAGAGTCCATGTTTGCAGAGTGCACCGGCCGCCCAAGGAGATCAAACCGCCTACGCTCCACAACCCGGCCAAGAGCGTCGATGTTGGCGGCCATGTTTCCCGCGAGGTCGTAGTCGCAGTGCTCCGAGACCTTCCCGGCGGATCCATTATCGCGGATTGTAAGGATCGGGCGGCCAAGGACGTCGAGATGCACCACTGTCGGCGTGTCATGGTAGATGGCCGCCTTACTCGCCGCATCCCTCTCCCACTTCCCACCACCACCCACGGCAGCGGACTGCCGCTTCCCATGCCACGACGGCACAACCAACGCCCTATCAAGACTCTTCACAAACCCGCCGATATCCACATCCCCCGCGGGGTCCTCACACAGCACCGTATCCCCCTCATCATACATCCTCTGCACCCACGGCCCATGCACAACCTTATTCCACGTACGGTCCGGGTTCAACGTACCCACCACGCGGTCCACAGCATCATACAGCAGCGTCGTGGCCGCCACATCCGCGCTCTCGTTCTGGGAGCGGAAGTGGTGGGAGGGGGACTGTGTGGGCTGGAAGCGCCGCACGGGGCGGCCCTTGTCGTCGCGGATCTCCCAGCCGCTGAGGAGCCAGAGGGGGCGGTTGTCGTTGTCGGGGGCGCGGGACATGAGTGTGACGGATTGGAGGGGGATGCCGAGGCCGTCGAGGTAGTGGATCTTGATGAGGAGCTTTGTGGGCTCGTCGCTGCTGTCGTTGTTGTGGTGGTGGACGTCGCGGGTGATTTCGGCCGCGAAAGAGGGGAGGACGCCGCCGCCGCTGCTGCTGGCGGCCTTGGAGCGGTGGAATCGCGAGCGGTCAAAGATCGTTCTTGAACCTGCAGCACCCAGCAGCTCCACGGCCAATGGACCCGCGGGATCAGCCAGAAAGGCATCAAGTTGCTCCTGCGTGGGGCACGGTTGAAAGCCATCAAGCGAATCACCAACCGCTTCTCCTTCCTTGCCCATCCTTGCCATCCCGACGACATTCCCGAACCCATCCATGGCGATCTGGACCCTATTACCATTTGCATCCGTGACCTGCCGGGGCGCTAGGCGTCGGTAGTCGTGGACGGCGGTGGTGGTGTTGCCCAGTGCGTCGGTGCACTTGACGGGGAGGAGGTTGAGGCCGTCGAGGACGGTGTAGGTGCGCTTCCCGAACGCATCGACGGCGATGGTGGGCGTGTAGAAGGCGCTGCGGGCACGGTGGAGCTCCATCGCGGGTTCGTCTGCGAAGAGGGAGCGCGAGGAAGGGACCCACCATCTAGTGCTGTCAGAGTCGAGGGCGACAAGGCCGGCGAGAGACATCAGCTCCGGTGTTGGGAGGCCCCGAAGGGTGTCCGCTGCGCCGTCGCCGTAGATGGAGGTGAGGAGGGAGCTGGTGGTGCAGAGGGTGAAGGCTTGGTCCATGATGGAGAAGGGCTCGAGGTCGCCGAGGGGGAGTGTGTAGAGGAGGTCACTGCTGCGGTAGTAGGTTCTGGATTCGGCGGTGAGGATCTTCTGCGCGGCTGTTGTGGGCGGGGATGTAGCGGGGACGTTTGCCTGCTCGGGGGGGACGTTGGCGGCGGTGCGGAAGAAGGAGAAGTCGTCTCGCGTAAGCTCTTCAACTCGGAGCAGCTGCTCTACGCCTACGGCGGCGGTCTTGAAGCCACGAATGCGGTACTGCTGACTTGCGGCGACCGAGGGCTTTCGGAAGAGATCGGGCTTGTCGAACTTGTTTGTATACTGAATCTGCGAATAGCTCATTACCGCCGTCTCCTGCATCTCCCTCACCTCAGCGGGGAGCATATCAACCTCCGCATTCCCCCCCGCGCGGCGGCGGCGGCCATAAACGACCGACGCCGACTTGACCACGTCGCCAAACTCATTAACCTCCAACGTAATCCCATGCACCACCCTCGGATCATCGTCTAGTGTCGCCCCGCCGCGGCGCTCATAATGCGTCGCCAACGTCTCCAGCGGCGTGACTCTGTACACGCCGCGGGTCGCTGCGGTCGGCGAGCGCGTGCGGTGCACGGTCTGGCGGCACTCAGTAATAACGTATGGTAGTGCTTCGCGGGCGGTGCCATCATCGCTATAGATCTCCTGCCGCAGCAGCGAGCCCTTCAGCGCGCGGAAGACCTCGCGGCGCTCGTCGGGCGTGACTGATGCGGGCAGGCAGGAGGGTTGCAGGCGCGGCGGGTGGGACGCAAAGCTAGGACCGTCTGGGACCGCGCCATCACCGTCCACGGCGCCGGCGTGGAACCAGGACTTTGTATGGACCGTCGGGCGTCTAAACGGCCGCTCGGCGTTGGCGGAGGTGGTGAACTCGTCCGAGTCAAACTGCTCCACCATTCCGAATCCGCGAAACTCGCGCTCCACGCCGTCGTAGAAGCCGTGGTGGTATGCATATCTCGTTGTCGTAGCTGTCATTGCGATCTCGTCTGTCTTTTTCAACTGGCTGACGCAGTGGACGGGGAAAGGGAGACGGGTCTTCCACGGCTTGCCCGCCTGCTCGTCGGTTTGGTGGTACCAGGTGGAGGGGCGGTATGTGATGTCGACGCTGGCGCCCAGGCCGTTGGTGTACGTCTTGAGCAGGTGCGGTTTCTGCCCGCCCATAAGGTCGAGGTAGCGGAGCGCCACACCACCCCCCTCCGCGGCGAGGAGGACGTCCGGGCCGGTCCAGCACAGACAGGAGGTGCCCTGGCCGAGCAGGTCAAGGGTAAAGACGGAGGAGAGGTCATCGATCTTGGGGAAGCAGTCGATCGTTTCGCCGTCCGACCACCCGTTGCCCGCAAGGTTACGATATACCTTCACCCCGCCAGGGGCGGGCAGATATATCAGGTCCGCGGTACCCGTCCCATCGATATCCGCCATCCTAACCCTCTCTGTCGAGAACTGTCCGTAGCCGTCGAGCACCGGCGCGTTATCCATCACCACCTCATCGCCGAAGCGGCCATGGCCCAGGTTCGGCCAATACGCCACGCGCGCGCACGAGACATGGACGACATCCGCGAGGCCGTCGCCCGACATATCCGCCAGGAACACAGCCGTGCCCGCGATATCGCCGGCCGGCGGGAATCTCGGCCCCCCTGTACCTGTTCCCGCGCGCTTTGTTCGGCGCTGCGGGCCGAAGCCGGCTTTGGCGAGAGACTCGTGCCAGATTAGCTCGTCCGTGACTTCGTCTGCCGGCAGGAGGATGTCCGAGAGCCCGTTGCCGGTGAGGTCGATGCGGCGGATTGCGTCGGGGGATCCACGGTTGTCGAGGTTGATGATGGAGAGGAAGGTTGTGAAGTCGTCCCAGGAGTCGATTGTGGTGCGGCGCTCGGAGAAGCCGGTGATGAGGCCGGAGGACGAGGTGAAGACGGCGTCGAGATGGCCGTTGCCGTCGAGGTCCTCGAAGAAGTGGGTGGGGCCGCAGCCGGGGGCGGGGTGGAGGGTGAGGAGGCGTGGGGGGGAAAAGGTCGGAAGGCCGTTGGAGGATGCGGGACTGAGGTTGCGGTGATAGAGCCAGGCCTCTGATGCGGGGGAGGAAGACAAGGACGAGGAGGAGGAGGGGGAGGAGGAGGAGGAGGAGGAGGAGATGAGGAGGCCGGGGACGCCGTCGCTGTCGAGGTCGAGCCATTGGGTTCTTGTGGCGGTGGAGTTGGTGGAGCCGGGGAGGGAGAGGAGGGCGGAGGTGTCGGCTGTGCGGAGACGGAGAGAGGAGGGCGGGGAGGGGGTCGTGTAGGTAAAAGTATAGGGCGGGAGGGACTCAACGATGCCAGCGGTATTGGCGGAGTGGGTAACTGCGGAAACAAACGACGCAGTACCAGACTCCTCATACTGGACCTGAGTTGAATTCACAAGCACCGACGCCCCCTCCTCCTTCCCAAACACCTCAGGCATGTAGTGAAACATGAGAACCCGACGGCACAACCTCGACGTCCGAATCTCGAACCCGCTGGTGTAGGACGAGAAAGGATCCGATCTGCGCCCCCACGGTTTGACCTCCGCCTCAGTCGGGAGTTCATCGTCATGCTCACCATAGTCAAGGACCACGCGGAACATCCAGTCGTTAACACTATCATGGTCGAGTGCCGGGGGAGATATATCCCAAGTGTCCAGATGCCTCCACGGCGTGCGGTTGCCGTAGTGTATGCTCTTCAGGTACCGGTTCCGGCCCTGCGCGGCCTTTGAGCGGCCGGCCTCGGACAGCGCGGTGGCGCGGAGGCCGGAGGTGTCGTCGGGCTTGTAGGTGTAGCTCACGGCGTTTCCAGCAGCATCCACAGACCAGCAGGCGAGCCATTTGAAGATGCGTTTATGTTTACCAGAGGTCTTCTGCTCCTTCTCCTCCTCCTCTGCACAGAAGATCCGCGAACTGTCGTTGAGGCCGTAGACGGTGGTGACATTATCCGCAGTGATGACCCGCCAGAATACATCCCCAGCATCCTGGGCGGCGGTCCACCGCTCGATACGCACCCCCCCGCTCTCCACCCTCGGCAGGAATCGGCGAACCTTGTACTCCCGATCCTCCCCGCCTGCGGCCAGTGGCCATGGCCAACGCCGCACCACATCACCGCCGAGCAGCGGGACGAGGTCCTCCGCGTCGCTGATGAGGAATACATTCTCCCTATCCCTATCCTCCTCCGCGTCATTGTACGTAGGAACCCGCCTCGACACCTTCCGACTGATGCTGCCCCCTGCGCCGCCCAGCCGCCATCCGACGCCAAACACGCCGTTGCCGTTCCCGGAATCGTAGCCGAGGGAGAGGGTGGGTGAGATTTGGGTGGCACGCGGAACGGGCGTGACGGGGAGGGGGAGGGAGAGCGACATTGTGCCCGTGACTGGGGCGACGGTGAAGGTGGGGGTTAGGGGGCGGTTGTGGGAGCCGCCGGAGGGGGGGTTGATGAGGGGGGGTGCGAGGGCGAGGGGGGCATTGTTGGAGGTGAGCTGGGGGGCAGTGGTGTGGGTAGGTTTGGTCGAGGTGGAGGAGGGGGCTGCGGGGTTGGAAGGGGTGGTGGGGGTGGAGTTGGAGTTGGAGTTGGAGATGTTGGGAGCGGGGGAGGGCTGGACGGCGGTGGTGGGGTGGTGGTCCATGATTGGGACAGACCAGTTGTTACTTTGATTTATAATTTACCTTTTCTGAAAGCTGGTGATTTATCTTGGGGGGGTTTTATGAACTTAACTAGCTCACACTATACCGTTTCTGCGCAAGGTAATATCTCTCTCTCTCAATCTACTGGGGCGAGGATCCGAAAGGGGGGGGAGGGGACGGCCATATATATTCAACCCTCGTAAGCAGCCCTCCTCCTCCTCCTCCTCGTTGAGAATCCACAGACAAGCAATGCAATCGACATCCGTGCCTGAGTGCAGTGCATGCAGCCCAGCTGAAACACCCTGCATGGCCCGGGCGAGTGGTCGATCGGCTGCATTGCATGTCATTCATTGACAGGGATCTTTGTCTGAGATGTCGCGTGCAGGAAACTTAGGGCTGCTGTCCCACCAGCCTGGCGTTTTCGGTGACTCCGCAGCTGCGCATAAGATTAAGTGAGATGCATGTCCTAGCTGGGTGGCGGGGAACATTTGTGGCGTTCTTTAGTTGGCCGCCAGGATCATGCAGCAGATATGTAGGGCTTCGCACGCGACAGGTACTGTATGTATGTAGGTTTGAATGAAGGGATTTTTTCCGAGAGGCTAGAATACATATGCTCTCTTTTCGATTCCCCCAGGTGTTGGATAGCTATGCAGCTAAGCTACCTACTCTACCCCGCACACCCGACCAACACAGCTTATCTATGTACCTACCAGCAAAAAGTATAGGGATCAGGAAGAGGCCCTCTTATATTAACCTGCGTGGAACACGAGAACAGCCCCGAGGTAGAGTCCACCGCTAAAGATGTACCAACCACTCTCCCAAGTCAGGGCCAGCGGTCTAGCTGTGTTATCTGTAAGTAGTCATCAGCTAGCCGTAAATGGATATTAGATGTTATTTTTCAATTCCGGCCCGTACAGAACTGCTTGTATATACATGTAGCCATCCAGTCAGACACCTTGGATACGAGTTTGTTGTGGTCCTAGCTTAGGTACTTGTTTGTAGCTAGCGAGGTTTCTGTTTGGCCCACTAGCCAGTGTTATTCTTCGGTTTATCAGTTCGAATCAAACCGGTTTTCTAGAAGAACCGTTTAACAAAAGCAATTCGGTTCAGTTCTGGCCTTGAGAAGTAATTTAAAATCGACTTTAATTGTATCGCAGTTGGAACCTACTCCCCATACAAACTTGAGGGTCCGAACACCCACCCACCCACCCACCCACCCAATTTTAGAAGCAACCCTAACCCTACAAACTTTGGTTCACGCATAGTTCCAGCTATATATGGAGTCTGGCGCCCAGGATTCTCAGGGCGGCTCTGAGGTGCGAAACTGGTTCTTGGGTATTTGGTCGGTTTAGTTGTTGGATGTTTTTTTTTTATTCAGTTCAGTTCAGTTCAGTTCAATTCAGTTTCGCTGGAAGAAAAAAATAAGAACCGGTTACAACCCGTTGGAAACACTACCTGAGGCTGAGGCTGGCAGTGGCACTGGCTTGGATTTCTGCATGCGAGCCATATATGCGCTTTGCTCTACTACCCACCCCCCCTCCCCCCCCGCGGCGCGGCCCCAACCCGTAGGAAACGAGATTTGATTGTAAAGGTAACCGGCGATTTCATCCCAGCCGAACACAACTACTGACACAATTATCTCCGGACTTGCACAATAGAAATGTGCATTATCATAATAATAATGTAATTTGCGCAATTACAAGTACTGAAACTCTTAGGACGGATGTTATACCATGGTGTGGATGAGACTTGGCGAGTGACATCATCGGTGCAAGATAATGAGGAACCGAGTGATGCCTTATGATGCTCCCCCGGCCGGGGAAAAAGGAAACAAGAAACTTTACGCCATGTATAAGCTCTGCTCCAGTTGAGGGAGAGGCGCAGCAGCTGTGCGAGATGCATATACGAGAGGATAGCGACAACATAGCCCAGGTGTCACCCTATCCTCTGCTCAGTAATGTCATGTGTGTAGAGATCATATATAGGCCTCTGGGCTCGCTGCTAAGCTGATCCGGTTTCAGATGTCCTGGTGAACAAGAAGAGGTGATCCCGGATCTTTGGAGGGCGTGTTGTGTTTGCACCCCCCTCATTTTCCACATTATTTATACTGCACGTCTTTCTGCTAGCATGTCGAGGTTTCCCGGGGGTATCACTAGCTGTCTTTGCCCGCTGTTTATCAATATAATCATTTCACCTTATCAGCTGCTGCTGTAGCCTGTAGCTATAGGTCGTATTCATCAGCCAAATCTGGTTTGGGAGGCCTTTAATCCTTCCGGCAGCGGGCTGCTTCGGAAGAGAGTCGTGGGGTATCACTCGTGCCGGAGATCCCCGACCAAGTGCCGACGCTGCAGAAACAGACTTGTGACGGGTTCACTGGTTTCATACCAGGTGGTCTTTAGGTGTACCGACCTTTCGTTCCTGGCTCCGAACGGCCCAGAGGTCTACTGGACGAGGTAAAACCTCAACGCTTTATGTATCTCTCATCAGGCCCCAGCTGAATTTAGGGCGTTGCATAATGTACGCCTTGCATGACTAGATATACGCACGGAGCTACTGTCTGAAAACAGCCCGCCACAGGTGGGAATGTGACTTAAGAATATCTTTGGCTTCTTCATTTTGAGGCAATCCTATGGGAACACAAAATTGGTGGAGGTTGGTCTGGCTGGACTAGGGGTCCACCCCCTTCGATTTCTACAATTTGGGTCCATAGCCGTTGCGCGAAACAAAGTTTATCATTGACCGATTCACACGGGGACAGGTAAATTTCTAAAAACGTCTACACGATATTTTACGAAAGATTTTGAAATAGACCGAGAAAAAGATGATTTAAATATAGATAAAAAAAGATGAGGAGAATAAGAGGGCAGACCTCCCTGTAGGTAACTGCGCAAAGAAATCATAGAAGTCACCTTAATTTAGACCTTAACGCGGTAAAATAGACCCTTCAAAAAATAGAAAATCGTTCCGGTACTTGACTGCAAAAAAGAAAAAAGGAAACAAAACAAAGTAATCCCAACCCTAACCCTATTGAAATGATATATTCCCCATAAGGATTTCATATCCCTAGTATAGGAAGTCAGCAACCAAAATCTCGGGAGATACTTCTTTAGCACTCACCTTGAACATACTTCCGGTTCTCGTAGTCTCCCAAGGCCCCATAACTACTTCCTGATCTCAATCCTATACTTCACGATAAGATAGACATTGTCAACCTCATCCTTGTCGGTGCCAATGGTGAGTTCCCAAGGCTTCATTCCTCCCAGCGCCTCCCCAGTGAACGGCTTGCTTGCAAGCACCGTCACGTCTTTACCCATATCTACATCTCCGGCAGTTTCAAATTCCACCGTGGCCGTGTTCGTCTTGATTGATACCGTCTTGCTCCACTTTTCCGGAACCTGGCGCACAACTAGTAGGATGCTGGTCGCCGTGACAGAGGACGCCACCTTTGTCCAGAACGGTAGTCGGTCGCCAATGCGGTCAAGTTTCATTTTCCTGCCGCTGCCGGGCGCACGCATATCGAACCACTCATTTGGATAGTCGTTGCGCAAGTCCAGCAGCGCATAGCATCCGCTCTCGCCACGAGCATCGCTCACCCCCACGTCCTCAACCCTTTGCATATACTCCTTGACGGCGCCGGTCGCGGCTTGCTGGGTGCCAATCCCGCCATCAATCGAGGTGTACCGCATCTGAATAACCACATCACTGATGGAACTGTAGTCAAACTGCTTGAAGGTGGCCGGGAACTCGAGCTTCCACCTACTGATGGCGCCGGCACCTTCGAAGGGAAGGTAACGCTCGCCGGAGAAGTTGAGCTCAAACGTGCCAGAGTCATTTTGCCCGGAGCTGACGGCGATCGAGGTGATCGGGATGCGGTCAGTGCGGAAGCGGGGGTCGTCGCGACCTTTGTCGGCGTAAGGGGGGGAGGTCGAGGGCGAGATACGCGTGCGGTTCTCGAGGAGACTCAGAGTGCAGTTCAGCGACGTGTAGGGACCAACGATGCACGGGATTGACACCGAAACAGACTTGATTCGACGGAAATAGTGCCCAGGGAAATCAAGGTCAAAGAGGACCTCTGGCAGCCAGAACTGTGCGGAGCCATTGTGACGAAGAGCAAGAAGCGCAGTTGGGTTGGTTTGGCGCAGAGAGATATTCTTGACAATCTCAAAATCGTGCGCACGCTTTTCCATGTATGCCATCTCCAGTCTCTTTAGGCTTAGGTATAGGTTCTGGGACGACAACAGCCCATCGCGCGCGCTGTCCCAATATCCGCTCTGGGTAAGATAACTCACCGTCTCTGGGCCTCCACGGCTTGCATTCTCAAAAAAGAATGCCCGTTCGGCCTTTCGTGCGAGCTGCATGGTGAGCAAGTACGACTCGTAATACAGCTTACGGAAGGAGTTCTCCAACCAAGCATACAGCTTTTGGTTTGTATATTTTGTGCGATGCCATTCCTGTACCTGCGAGGACCGTTCAATCTGAATCTCCTGCGCCCGGATCTCGCTCTCGCAGATCGCAAGCTTCACCTTTTGCACCGCAATCTCCTTGTCCATGTGCTTGACGTCGTGACCAGCCATGTTGGCTTGCAGTCGGCGCTCTTGAAGCTGGCGGATCATTTGTCCCTTGCGCGATGCACGCTGCCCCTCATGGCTATCCATCTGTGCCTTCACCTTTAGGACTTTCGCCGTGCCGATCATAGCCTCCGCGGCATTTGCTGCATCAAACTTGATTCCGACTCCGACACCCATTGGCTGCATGTTTGTTTCCAGGTTTGGGAGGGCGAGCAGACCGGCCGCTGTGAGATCGAGGACCGATGCAACATCCGTCAAGCGAGCAGCGCTGTCTTGCTTTTCCATGTCGAGCTTCTCGTAGGATGTCATGCGTAGATCGTCCATCGTCGGCTTTTCAATGCTCTGCACAACGTCGGTCCACTCGGAATTTTGATCTGGGACCTTCTCCGAAGACTCCCCAATCAAGGCCAGGTAGAAACGCAGACGAGAGACATGCGATCTCCGCACTTCCTCCAAAGCCTCGATGCTCTTGAGCACCTCCGTCTTTTGTTGCTGCTTGATCGGGAGGAGTGTGGTGTTGGTCAAGACGTCGTAGCGCGAAAGAAGCATCGTCAGTCCTTCAGAGTCCTTCTTCTCCTTTGCAGCCAAAAACTGCTCGCCCATACTTCTCAACTCGGAGCACATTTCCAGAGCCTTCTGCAGTAGGTAGTAGAATCGATAGTTCGGCATGGGGGCGTCAAGATCATTCAGTAGCGCCGAGGGGCTAAGTCCCGCAGCTTGAGCCTGGGATAGAAGACCTGGCTCGATGGGTGGATCAAATAGTGGGAGGGATAGCGGGCGTCCGTTGATATCCATGCAATTGCGGACTTTGTAAAAGCGATCGTTGATTAGATTCCTCAGCGCTGTGAGTTGGGTGTTTGGCGGGACACAAAAGTACCCAGTTTTGACTATCCCCGTAAACAGGTTCTGCTGGCCTGCCCCCGAGGCCAATGCGGGTGTGCCATTCGCAGCCCCACGGTAGCACGGCTCGCTGCTATACGGGAACTCTAGCTCCATGTCAACCGCAGCGTTGGAGAAAATGTCGAAATACGAATTGAGCTTTTCGAAAGTCTTGACGTCTCTCTTTCCCATGCTCGGAATTTGCTGTGGCGGGGGTCCAAATAGATGCGACGCTTCGACGTAGCGCTGGATCGCCAACGGGATGCTTTCGAGGCTGTTTTGACGGAAATACTCGTCTCCACTCGCAATCAAGATTTCGATATACTTCATGACAAACCGTTTCATATACACCACTGGTAGCGAACGGGCAATTGCATGGGGGATAAACGGGTTTTTCTTCCAGTTCCTGACATAAGTCTCGCTTTCCCTTTCTTTCCCATCTTCAGGCAGAAGACTGTTCAGAATTTTGACCGACGTCTGCCCACCAGTGATGGCTGTGTTCCTGAAAGGCACAAAGCGCCAACACCGTTCCATGCCTTTACCTTCAATAGTGGGATCGAACACAAGACGAGCAATTTTGAGAGCAAGCTCAAACTGCTGCGTGGCTAGAAGACGCTCCATGAGAAGGGACACTACGTGCATTCCCAGCTCCCAATTGTACAGTGCATATGGCGACGCATGCTCGTCGTAGCCATTGGTTATACCGCCAAAGCCAGCCTTGCATAGGCTTCCCTCAGTGACTTTGCTCAGAAAGTCATACATCTCGTCAACTGTGTCGCTTGTGGTGGAGTATTCCATTAGGTCAGCTGCAAGAACATGGTCAAAGAGACTGATATCTTTCATCACGTGGCTGACAGGGACCGGGACACCGTTGGGTCCGATTATCGCGGATGGGCCCAGGTCAGCAACCTCGCCCGGGGCAGGCGGGAGCGCAAAATATGTGGAGTGGCTTGAGCGATTCGAAACCTCGAGGAGCAAGGCCGTCAGCTTTTCCGATCGAGAGCCGTGATATGACATGGTCCAGGTAAAGTCTCGGTACGTCAACTCATTCACCGTGGTCATTGCCAAAGTCACATCAGAGATATCCCCGCCGCGGCGCATTTCGACAAAGACTTCTGGGTTCTTCTCACTCTTCGCCGGAGCCCAGAGCTTCGAGAAATGTGTGGGGAAAGAATGGTCGTACTCAGACTGGGAATTAGAGACCTCGAGGGAATCCGCGAGCTTTTCATCTATGACCTCCTCCTTCTGCATAGCGTTCTTCTCTGGGTCACCTGACTCCTGCTTTTTTGCGGCGGCGGCAGCGGCGGCGGCAGCGGCTGCTTCCTTTTGCTTTTTTGCGGCGGCGGCTGCTTCCTCCTCCTCTTTCTTCGTTCTGGGTTCGATAACAGAAATCTGGGTCCCGCGTATCTTGAATCGACCAAGAACCCACCGGTGGGCCTTCTGGCCAGCAGCCAAGCGCTCTGTGGGTACCGCAAACTTTTTCCCCTTCATTGTATGCCAGCTTTCCACATCAATAACGACGACGTCGTCTGTATCTGAACTTTCATGTTTGAGAGTCTTGGATGATATGGTATCAACAAAGAATCTAAAGCTCGACAACGGAGGCGATTCACCCCCTTCAGGATGCAGTGGAACCTGCAAAAAGCGCTGCGAGATCCGCTTTGCCGACCATTTCCCATTCCGAAACTCGGTGTGCCCTAGACGCATTTCCCAGTGCTTCTTTGGCGTGGCATCTACCGCCGGCTTATTCCCAATCTCCTTGAACGTAACCTTCTGTCCGCTTTCCGACACGCTCTGGGCTCTGTCCGACTCGCTCTGGAGCATAAAATGAGGAATATAAAGGAATAGCCTGCCGCGACTGATCACCGGAATCAAGTACGCACCGGGCATGCGCAGGGATTTACCGTCGATATCCGTCTCGAGTGACGGGATATCAACATCAATTTTGGTCCAGGGATCCCAGCTCATCGTTCTAGATTTTCCGTTGTCGACATCAAGCGAGCGGTAGTAGTACTGATACGGGGCGTTCCTGGTGCGACCAAAAAAGTGAAACTTCCATTTCGTTTTTTCGTCAATCTTCTGCCACACGTATGCCTGGACTTCCAAGCTTGCAATCTCGTTGACACCATAAACATACGCCTTGATGGCGTTGCTGATGGTCTCCATATCGACGTTGTTCTGCATAATGCTAGCTTCAAGCGTCTTGAAGAGGTCGGTTTTGTTGTCGCGCAGCGTCGGATCAATCCAGTTCTCGGGGTAGAGGAAGAGCTTGCGGTTGGCCTCCCACAGGGTGTATTTGGCCATGTATTTCCAACGTACTTGGGAAACTCCTGCGCACATGACGCCCCCCTTGACTGACTTTTCGAGACTGAGGTTGCAGCGTTGAATGAACAGCTGGACAGTCGAGATTGCTTGCTTCATTCGCGAGGTTTGCAGCTTTGCGCCCATTTGGACATCAATGAGAAAGAATTCAAACAGGTGATCAGCATCGAGGAGCTTGAGCTCCTTGATTTTTTTGTGGTGGAGGAGAAATTGGACGAGTGCCGTGCGCTGTCTATCTCGAAGCTCGTCGTGGGCCACAGCTAAAGGACTGCCGGCACCAGCACTTAGCGTGGAATGCGTCGCAAGGCGAAGCTCGTTGGCACTGATAAACGTCTCGTCCTTGCTCAAAGATGTGACTTGCGACTCGGCGACGCTCAGATCGGGAGATGCGAATCTAAAGAGATTGATAATTAGTTTGGATTCCGCCTCCATGACGCGCAGATAGGTGATGCAAACCTAAAGAGAGTGATAACTTGAATACTTGGCAAATTCATACGATCAATGACTTTGAACATCTGCTTCATTATAAAGAGCTCGCGTTCGTTTCGGAAGAGGTTAATGATCCGCTCGGGGTTCGACTTCGACTGGTTGGGATATTTTGACAACAGAATGCTCTCCACGGATCTGGTCGGCCAACCCGTGGCCTCTGAGATCTTGGTGTAAAGTTCCCCGCCCTTTGTATGTGCGTCCTCACGAGCCGTCCATTCAAACAACTCGATGAGCGACATGCCTTTCTTTTCTTTTGATTGGCAAGCATCACGGACATCCCGATAGGTCTGGAGGCGCTGCAGCTGGTCAATTGTGGGGCTATGAAAAGTGACACTTAGCTTGGATAGCTCGAGCTTAGACGATTCACGATGGAAATACTCCATTTCCTTGAGATTCAGGCAGTACACCTGGAGCACCCTCGATGCCACCGCGAGTTTACGGTAGACCTCGTCGATGGTGTTCCTAGTGTTTTTCTCAATGAGCATGTCAGCCGTGAGGGGGGACGGTGTGAGTGCGTCTTTGGTCATGTACTGGATTTGCTTTAGGTTGATTCCCTTATACGTCAGAGTGCAGGTTTTGCCGTAGGTGAGTCGGACTTGACCCGACTCCCAGCGGCCAGATTTCAAGGTAGGGTTCAACGATTTATCATCGAGCAACAGCGTGAACGGTGGGGTATGGTTTAGCGTGGATGAGGGTTCGCCCGAAGGCTCGACAATAAAATAATAGTCTCCGGAGGTGGGAGGTAGGAAGAAGCCGTCAAAAGATAGGGCACTGCCATCGACGGCAGGCAGCGTACGCAAGGCCTCCAAAGCTGTCTTTTTATCGGATCCAGCGCGGACAATGTCCGTCAACAGACCCATTAGCAACGCGCTATCGACTGGAAAGTCGACTGAGACATTGTCGAGGATGATTTGTTGCAAACACTGGGCTTTCAGGATTGGAGTTGCATGTCTAAGGAAAAAGAGACGCCGGTTATTGATGGCTTCATCTGTCGCCCTGGGAAAGACCCTTTCCGCCTCTCTCAACACTGTTTCATCTGTAAATATCCGTTCAGAGAGAACCTTAAAGACCGCCCTGGAGTCGGAATCAAGCCCTGCGATGGCTTTTGACCACTCAGCAACCTCCCCACCCATGACTTCCAACGCCATTTTCTTTTCCTCTTCAGACAAGAGACCAGTAAGGGTCAAGCTAATCTTGCTTTCTCCCGCTGTTCCAACGGAAAAGACGTTACAGGAGAGCTTCGAAGCGAGTCTCAGGAGAGTCTTATTCCCCTTATCCGGAATAGCAGATTCTTTGACCGTTAGATCCCGAGATACTTTATATACGCCTGACAGATTTATTTTTATTAGTGGCACGTACGATTTTAGCGACAATTATGTAGGCCATCTCACCTTCAATCATTTGTACAGCCGCTTCTGATTTTCCCGGTGGGAACAACAGCGAGGCTACTTTGACAACCTCCTCCGCCGTGGCAGCAGTGTGGCTCGCGCTACTCGGATACGATTTCTCGATAGAAATGATACCGTCCATCAACCTTTTTGTGGCTTCAAGCGCCAGCGAAGTATCGCGATCGCTCAGTTGACCTCCCAGGGCCACCAGACTCTTCAGGGTCCAGCCAGCATCAAGCAGCAGCTTCCACTTTCTCAACACCTGGAGTGTCGCACGGGGGTTCGCAAATATGTCTTCGTTGGAAAACAGTTCCTGGAAAGCAGCGTACTCGGATGCAGCGATACCGAGGATGTTGCACATTAGCGAGACACGGTAGATGGCCGAGACATTTTCCAGAGTCATAGGACTTTCGATAGTCAGCTTGGCCTCAGGACTTGGACCAGCAGCGGCGAGGAAGTAACCCAAGTCCTCCTCCAGGATTCCCAGGGTAGCCAAGACGACGGGCTTGTGCTGCGAAAAGCGCTGGGTCGCGCCGGTGAAGACCCTGCCCGTTTTTTCATCGGGGGTGAAAACGTTGTCGAGCTTGACAATCCGTGCCTGTAGGAAGAGGCGGGCGTAGAGCGATGTTGGGCCATTGGTGTCAATATTACCCCACAAAGGCTGTAGTGTCGCAGCGGCGGGATAAGGGATGCCCGGAATCTCGGTAATCTGTTTCACTGCAGCGATATCTTCAAGCATCTCGCCAGTGATACCCCAACTGGGAGTAATGTCGAGGGTTGACTCGTCCTTACCATTTCGGCGGAGAGTACTGAGGATTGCGTCGGTTTCGCCGATAGACCACCCGAGTTTTCTCCACAACCGGATGAATGCCTGAAGGTCGTGGCATATATCCTCTGTCAATGTGCCCCTGTCCTCCCTGAGAAGCACGGTGCAGCGCAGGCGCATGTCATCCAGTTTGCCTGAGAAGCGGTTGAGTTGGTTTGTGGTGATAACCAGCCTGCCGCCCATGAATTGTGTCTTGAGAATGTCCTGGAGGTCCTTGAATGAGATGGCCGCGCGCGGCAACAGCTCCCGCTTGATAAAGGTTAGCCCCACACCTTCTATCTCGTCCAGCATCCTAGATTTGTTTCCGGCCGTGTCCAAGGTGTCATCGTCGTATCCCCATAATGCCATGGCCGACCGGATGCCCATTGCAGCACGGTAGTCAGACGCAAGTGCCAATTGCTCGTAAGAGCGCCAAAATTCAAACGGCGGGAAAGCCTCTCTGGTGATGGCCATAAAGTCTTGTTGTTGCAGCCCCAAGATCTCGGCCGCGTTTGCGCGATCCAATACTCTTTGCGCGGGATCTCGCAGGCGGTCGACGTCGGTCACGGTTAGCTTTCGCTTGCTCGAGGGAGCGATTCGAGTCAGGAAACGATCGACAGAAGAAAACGTGGAAAGAACTTCGCGACGAGAACTTCCGGCGGCCGTGAGTAAGGAGCGGATAGTGTCAATAGCTTGATTGTAGGGAAAGACGTTGAGTGGAAAGACTTGTTTCTGCAAGATACCCTGATAAACCTTGAGGTCTATATGACGGGGCTGCACAACGTGGTTGGTGGGGTCATTTGTTTCCTCTGCCGACATGTTTTTCACTCCGTATTTGGCGTATTCATTCCCACAGACATAATCAACCCACGACTCCAAGACCTCGTTGACAAGGTCAAGGTACGGGATCAAAACATTTGTATTTGTGCACGATAACTCGAGCTTTTGCAAGTCAGGACGCCGATTCATAAACATGTCATACAGGGTTGGCGAACTACTGTCGTCCGGAATTGATCTGGTCTCCTGTAGTAAGCGGAGCAGATCCACAAAGTAGGCCGACGCACTGAGCACGGAGGAGCAGTCGCTACACTCAACACCATCCATATCGTTAAACAAATTTGTCATGTTTATAACTTGTGTTTCCGCTCTATTATCCTTTTTCTTAGCAGCGGCTAGCCTTGTCTCTTTGTCATCAGTGACCTTTGGCAGCACGGCAGCGTTCCTTCTCCGAAGTTCCATGGCCCATGTCTGCTCGTTGCGGATTTCAACGGTGGTGGCATGGTCGTGTATGCGGCGGGCAGTGTCTTCAGGCATCCCTGACTTTGCCATGTTTTTAATAAAGAGTTCCAGGTCTGCTACGGCGATGTCGTGCGCGGACTCGGCGCGCTGGGCCATCAATTTCGCGATATCAGCTGGGTCCCGCACCAAAGCCTGAAGTCTCTGGAGGGTCCTTATAAAGGCCATGGCATTTCCATGTTGATCTTTCGGGGCGTTGGATAGTTTTGTTGCTACTTCAGGATGCTTGAACATGATTCGTACGGATTTCTTACTAATGTCAAAATCCTGACCAACGGCGGCGGTCAGACAATCAACGACCAGGGCCTTGAGACTCCCGATTTTGCCGTTATCGTCGGCTGCTGGGATGACATCTGTGTCCACAAGGCCGAGTAGGACCGCGGAGGGCTGGTGGGCAAAAACGTTTTGTTTCCAGGTGGCGCGAGCAGATTCTGCGATATCCGCGGGAGCGTCGGCGGGAAGTGTATAGAAGCGCTTTGCAAGATCTGGGAGGCTTTTTGGGTTGTTTGCAGAAAGATACGCAGTCAATGGACCGTCAGAACCGGTGAGCTCATAGTACGAGCTTAGAAGCTCGACTTTCTTAATGGCTTCAGGCGAGCTGCCGCTGGCGCGCTCATAGACGACATTGAAGACGTCGCGCGCGGTAATGGGGGTAGGGGAATCGGAATTCAGCTTTTTAACCATAAGATCAAGGAGCTTTGTCTCAGAGCCCAAGACGGCCTTCAAGGAGTCTTGGAGGAAGGCGAGATTGGGATTTGGAGCCATTGTGGTTTGCAGTTCTTGGGTTCTTGCAACAGTTGTGTGAGTGTGGTTTTCGGGGGAAAGCTGGTCGCGCGGTCGAGGAGGACTTTGAGATGAACTCTGGGAGGGTGTTAATTTGGTTAACTCTGATTTCTCAATTGAGGGTTGTATGCACTGGAGGCAGGAGACTGAATAGTAGAATAGAAAGAGCTGAGGTGGGGTACGGTGGGAGGTATAATAAATTCTGGATTGAACTTATTTGTCAAGACGTGCGGGCACCCTAATTCAGGCTTATCCAGAGTGAAATGGCCATAGCGGGCCGCTCCGAAGCTTTACTAGAACTTGTAATTGGATAGCTCTAATTGCCAAAGAGGATAAAGCTACAGTAACGATGAGGCTGAAGATCAATAATCATGTAGCGTGATTGACCGATTGATTCAAAGCTACCGTCTTAAGCGAGGGATTAAGCCCATAGCGGAGTGAATACTGCATGTTCTATCCCAATTGGAGTTGTTCAGCTTGCTGTCGCAATTGAGTTGGGACCGGAAGCTGTAGGGCAACATACCTGAACAGTGAACATGCTTTCAATTCCACCATTACCTCCGAGTCAGATGGATGCCCCACAGTTGATGCAGAACGCAGGTCACGCATTTGGGGGGGTTGCGTACACATGGAGTTTCATGGCTGTAGGTCAGGTTGGTGGCTTACAATTGAAGCTATCGGTGATTCCGCGCGTGTCGGTGATGCCGCGAATGTATGTAGTACAAACGTGTCCCATGTTGTACGCAGCTAAAGTGCAGAAACCCGTACCGGTGGGGTGGCGACACATGCAAGGGGAACCAGAGTGGAGTACCAGGGGTTCACTGTGGGGCCGACCCACCCATAACACTGGAACGCCACGTGAGCCACACGCGAGCCAGATCTGGAACCTGCAGGTAGGGTCCGTGCAGGCAACGAACTAACGTTGCTGTACCCCACGCCAAGCGCTAGGAGCAGTTCAGCTAGGAAGCCCGTGTAACATGATCCTACTACGTTACACAACTATAGCTCAAAAAGCCCTTGGCCGGGAGAGCTGCGTGTATGTTATGTAAAGTTACCTGCAAGTGATATATATATTTATGTGGATTATACAGTACTTGGTTATCTTCACCTGGAAGCAGACATATCGCGCCAACACTTAGTTCTCGACCTCTCTCTCTCTCTCTCTACTCACCATGGAATCCACACTCGGGCCGTATCCCAAAGTCATAGCCCTTACACAGGGCATGATCAACAAAGGTCTCGAAAACGTGTTTAGTTCGTATGAACGGCTCCAGAGCCTGGAATATCTCGATCACGATTCCCACCTGTGGGATATCCGTATTGATTTGTTGCCGCCGCAAGTTCTGGTATCAAAGAGTGGAATTAACTTTCAATTCCGGTGCGGGGTTCCTGATTATTCATTGTTATGATTCCATTCCTTGCATGGCGATGCTGATATAGCCGCGATAAAGGATCAAGCTCGGCCGGATCAAAGGGCCAGCAGCCCACGGCCAGATCAAAGAGCCAGCAGCCCCTGGAGAGATTGTGGTTGAGGTGGCGGGGTGGACACTCTCGCATGCGCTAGACACGAGGGCGCTGCTAGAATTCCGCGAGGCTGTGGAGCTGTGGGATGCGGGCGGTATGGCCGGGGATTTCTCGCCGGAGCGGATCTACGCGATATTACTCGCCTCTAGTAGGTTTTATTGTTCCCCGGTGACCCTTGCGCGCTGGAGTCGTAGAGCTTACTTAGCGGGATAATGTAGTCGCGGATGGAATTGTGGTTGATCTAGATGAGAGCAGATGTATGCCCCAGATACCTGCTGACGGGACCGGCGGTGTGGGCGGCGGGGCTAAGAAAGATTACCCGTGGCGGAAGTGGGCGGCGGGACACGCTGTGGAGGCTGCAATGCTGCTGGAGGTATTCAAAGAATGGCCTCGGAGATTGAAGGATCAGGGATATAATCCACTTGGAGTGAGGTTTGATCTAGATGTTCTGCCTGCACTAGGTATGTACTGGGGACAAGCTTCTGGAGGGGAACTTGAACGTGGTTACTGATCGTGTGGTTTTTATTCATTGTGTGGATATAGAGGATGGGAATATGATTGCTATTGGTGAGAACCTATCTACACCATACCCTAACCCTGGCGCAGAGTTGAAGTTGACTTACTCCGTGTCTTTAGGTTCCCACAACGAATCACGCCAGCTTTTTGAGCACAATTCCTACTCACAAGCTGTCGTTCCAAAGGCCGATGCCAAACTCAACAGCATTCTTGTATGCGGCACTGCTAGTGCTAGTCCCACCGGTCAAGCTGCTCAAGCCAATGTCGACTCAAAACGGTTTAGCGCCAACTTCCTTTCTGACGCCCTTCACTCTGAGGGGTATGACATTACGTTTGGCTTCTGGACCTTGAATCGCAAACACTACCTGGAGGATTTCGTGCTCTCGCGGATAAATGTACTCCACGAGGCGACCGAAATCAGCGTCGATCCCCCGACATGGGGTCCTTACGAGGACGGGGAGATAGGCGAGGAACGATACCACCCGACCCACAAATTGAAGCGCGACTTTGCCCACAGGGATGACGATGGGAGACTCGTGTCGCCAATGGGTTTCTCGAGGACGGGTTCGTGTTATACATGGACGAGCAACAGCGGCTCTGGGGTAGACCAGATCAAGCACGACCAGCCTAAACTAGACCTACGGAATGTCTACAGCTCTACATGTGAGTCTGTAAGATTCGGAAGGGTTTGGAGATCTATTCGCACTAACGCTAGCTCTACGTGTAGCAACCCATTCGAGTGTTGCGTTTTGGACCCCGGGAAAAGATACATTGACAGTCAACTTGAAGACGAGCATCGTGATCAGATCTGACTGGTTCGAGATCAAGTCGGGAACACAGTCAGGGAGCTTCAGGTAAGAATCTATATATGTACAAATTCAGCTAGGCCGATTGATCTTCAAGGCATTACACATACCTACAACCAAATATATGCTAAAACGTACCAGGCGCAACTGTTCCATCGCATGGCACATTGTACTCAAGTTTCTCATCATCAATAATGTCCTGCACATCCAGGTTACCGAGGCCCCGCACCACAAGCAGGAGGCGAATAAGATCTTGACCACCGTAGACCGCGTTGGCTCGTTTGGCGTCAAGGGGGATTATGAGCCAGGCCTTGATACGAGGCTAAAGAAGTTTATCGAAGGGAGCTTGGAGCCATCAATTAAGCGCGCCAGCGAGTTGTTTCAAAAGAAATTTGAAGATGCCACAACCCTTATCCCTCCCGAGAGGAGAGATATTGATCTTGCAAAGGCAATACTGAATGAAACAGGTGACCTTATTGTTGGGATTGAATTCAAGCCGTAAGTCCACTAACTACCATTCCCGCATAGATAGCTTACATTACTGACCCCCTCCTCTCCACAACAGACCCCGCAGTATGCGAGATCTAGTTTTAATACATGACCTCGGTCCTGTTCACCGGGCAGCGCCCCTACCTCCCCGTCCCCCTACCCCACCACCAGCACGTACAGCTCTCCTTGAATGGAGCTATAAGTTCACCTTCAACGAGGAACGTACGCGCGCGCAACTCGTGCTCAGCGGGACCAACTTGGGCTTTGACGAGCTCGGCGTAGGGTTTATCGAAGTTTCATTCACCTCAGCCCAAGGCTCCCCTGACACGCTTTTCTCCACCAACAAACTCCCGTACAAAAACGACCGGGTGACGCTTGCGGCGGGATCGGTGGAGGCAACCTTGCAAACCCCAACCTCCGATGGGAACAACATTAAGGTCGCCCTTGATGTCGTCCCTGTCCCGCCCGAATCCACCGTCGAGATTGAGGTTGATGCGATTTCTGAGGCGAAGCCGGGGGTGTATCTGGTCCGTGTTACTGAATCGTGGAGGGACCCTGAGGATGATTCGCGCTGGCAGCGGCAGGGATTGAAGGATATCATTAAGGTAGTTGTGCAATAAGTCAGTTATATACCTATACTTAGGACCCACCGAGTTGTGGATGTTATGGAATCTTGTGGATAAACTATTTTACTTGTTGTTTCCTTTTTATTTACCTCGATTGGGTTTTCTTATTCCTTGGACTTGTTTCCCTAGCTTTCGCTTTGTCCATTAATTATGAGGATCAATCCACTACACAAGAAATAGATTGGCTTATATGGTACTGAATAGGTGATTCTATTCGAAACTTTATTACATGTGCGTAAATGTTTGTTACAGTATTTTATTCCTATGCTATCAGGTATACTAGTCCAGGGACCGATTGCTCGAGACGAGGCGCAACTCCACCGAATTCAACCAGTAAAGCCTCGAGATTTCCAGGGACATATGGCTGCCACCAAACACAAGTATTCAGCCCCAAACAAAATAGATATATCTGTTTATCAAGTAGGGTTAGGGTTATAATGGAACTTCATGCCGAGGTTTCAAAAGATCAAAGCCACCCGGCCCCCCATCTACCCCGAGATTTTAAAAGCAGAATAAAAATCATAGTTTAAGTACTCTTCAGCCCGGATCTTAGGGCCCTCAATATTAATGCCAATACGCCAGACGCCAGGCACCTTGATCCAAATTTTATCTGGGAGATAAACTCAAACATTGCCTTACACCAAATCACAATAGACAATGGCATTACATTTAGTCCTTACGATTCTCCATGCTCCTGTTAACTTGTGTTCCAATATGGGCACTCAATTGCGGTCACTTGAAAAGTTGCCCTGAATGTGGCGGCTTCGTGTCGTTGTAACGCCCGGCCCGAATAACCCTGCATGTCCATCATTACTCGAGTTGGAGTTATGTTCAGCTCCAAAGATAGGAATCGGAATCCTATGGTAGAATGAGAAGCATCGAGGCTCATACAATACCTGCATTAGTTAATTGTTAGCAGAGACGAGTGATGTTGCATGTCCCAGAAGTGCCGGGGCGCCGCGAAAAAAAAGCCCGGGGTCGGCTGCTGCTGCGGGTCACTGAGGTCTCGCTGCTCATGTGATCGAGTGATGTCTCATATCTCGCTTATGTAGGACCTTATGTCTCATGTCTCGCTCAGACCGAGATCAATCACGCTGAGTTGCTGCACAACCATCACCATGCATGTCGCATTCACCCGAGCCTCCGCCACAGCATCTGTAGTGTGGGTACCGCGGGTGTGTTACCATCGCCAAAACTGTCCAATGGGTTGAAGGGCCTCCAAAGCGTATATTTGTAGCAATTTTTATCTCTCATACATGGCTAGCCAATGTCGAGTTGTGGCGGTAGGTGATATTCTCACGATAGTCGCGTACCGATGCACCGGCAACCGGAACTAAGATCGAACCTGGGCTCGACTGTCTCGACCCCATCAGCTCAGCTCAGCTCGCTCTGTTGATGTTGATTACTCTGAGCTCTTGCCTGCATGCATGCAAATTACATCTTGCGGGGCTGAACCCATTTTCTTGTTGAAAGTAGCAATACCAATTGATACACGGAAAAACAAGGCCGTACAGGGGTAGCTATAGGGGCGGACATAGGCGGAGGCATAGGCGGAGGCGAGTTATAGAGAGTGAGGTTCTAGTATAAGTACATCGATGGGCGCAACAAAAGTGAGCATATTACCTCCATCACCACAAACAGCGATAACAACAATTATAAAATCCCCGAGACAATGCCCGAAACACGCTGTCCCACCGAATCTGAGCTCTGCGACGCAATGCGCGGCCGGTCCGTCACGGCGGGTTGGGACGTAGTCGTTTCCTACCGCGTCTCCCGCCTCAACGAGATTCTTGGCAGGCTCTGGGAAAAGGGAAATCTATCCGATAGTATCAAGATCAATGTCCCACACACGCAGGATGGTGTGCGGATGCTATTTGACGTTAACCTACTGAGGCCGACCCTTGATTTTGTCCTCGATGGCGCTGCAGATGCCCATCTGCAGATGGGATTCGAGGGTTATTGCTACTATTACACCGGGGATGTGATATCCAGCAAAACGAGGATATTCGCCGGTCAGTACGAAATCGGGTTTCAGGTCCCCCTCGTCAGCATGCCCGCCGCAAGTGTCAATGGTATCAACCCTGCAAATTGGGTCGATCCCTCCGGGCACCCGGAGAAGCTGGTATGTTGAGTCTTCTTGTGTATACTACCAATGGAATAAAAGCTAATCTCATCCGTGGATGAACAGGGCGGCCTGGCAGGCGACACGATCGCCTTTCTCGACCCTCACGACCCACACGCAACTCAAAACATTGTCTTTAAATTCCATGATATCCCCAAAAAGAGCTGGGTGCTTCACAGTGTTGATGCACAAGGCAACAAAAATCCCAACGTAGACCTGGATATGTCTCGATTCTCCGACGAGCTGCACACTTGGTTCGTTAAAAGTGTCAGGGCAGTAGACTATACCGTTGCAAGAGTCACAAATACAAAACCCTCGGATGATAAAACCACCTACCTCCGGCCCCAGGAGTTTGTCTTTGCCTCCCATGGCCAGGGGCCATCAGCCGTCCTCAGCATCTACATGAAGACGGTCGATAGTGGTTTCGCCTCCGGCGACAAAGCGCCGCAGTTCAAATTCACGACTCCCAACGGCGTCACTGTTGAGCTCCCAGTGCCCAAGGACTCAGAGGCAAGCATTATAATCCGCCACGAGCTCATGCGAGAGAGACTTTTCCTCCCCCATCTTAAAAAGACCTTTGAGATCAAAGACGACAACCCGGATCCGGTGTCGAACGATTTGGGAAATGGCGAGGAGGGCTTTAGATTTAAAATCAAAGTTGACCGAAAATGGATCAAAGGAATGGAGAACCCGTTGGGGCACCTCTGGATGAGTAACATCCTCACCCCCCAATTCCTTATCGACCTCAAACAAAGCCCACTTACCCTCACCATCAGCGGGGGAAAAGCTCACTGGGCTCTTGACTACACCAGCCCTCGATTAGGGTGGCAACGCAACTTCCACTTCGGCGGAAAGGGCCTTATAGGCGCGGTCATTGTAGAGGCCAAGGTCAATAAGGTTTGCCTCCAAGTTTCTCCGCGCGTCTACAGCTTTCTTGCCTCCCCACTAACAAGCGTGTAGGAGATGCCGATACTCTCATCGAATGCAACCCTAAGCTCGACACCTCTGACGTTCAAGGCGTCAGATATTAAAATCACGATAAAGGGCGCGCCTCAGATAAAGCGGGAGCTGAGTTTCTTTGAGTCGATTTTCGCCGGGCCTCAGTATGACCGAAACATCTGGGATGATCATGTTCCGGACGAATGCAAGAATCTCGAGGTTGGATTTCCAGACTTCAGCATTAGTCTTGCGAGCCTGGATTATGTTGCCACCAAGAACGTCTTTGCTTCCTCACAGGATATTGTACAGATCAATACGGGCAAGGGGATGCTTTCACCCCACGATGTCATGTTGTTAGGAAGGATTGCCGACCCGTAACCGGAAGTTACAGTTTATAAATTTACTCCAATCCCACTTGGTGGTACCAAACAAGCACCCGGCACAGATCACTATAAGCATGTTCATACTGTAGTTAGATTTATAAGATCTTTTGATTGAATTAATATTTTGAGATATCCTTGGCGCGCCGCTCTTATTTATTTTCGCGTACAACTTGCTTGATTTATTACTGCATACAAAATAGATTATTTTATACTAGTAGGGAGGCGGCCAAAGGTAGAGGAAGGCGGTCAAGGTAGGACTTTGTGGGTGCGTGCGGGTGACGGTTCGTGACCGCACCGTAGGTAAGGGACCCTTAGTATTAGCAGTTCGTACCCTTAGTAGCAGTGCGCGCCCTAAGCCCTACCACACCGTCTCTTTGCTTTGGCCATATGACATAGCTATTATATTATGTAGGTATTTGGCTTGGCTTGGTGTGATATGTGCGAAATTCATTGATAATACCGTGCTAAGGTGATAACTGCTGGAGAGCCCCAAACACTTCTGTGGTCTTAGGACGATTTGATAAGCTATCTTAATTCTTATTCTCTTTCGGTAGGTTAAAGCACAGGAATGCAGCAGGACATTCAAAGACTGTTATGTTTCTCACACAAATTGCAAAAACAAGCACCTGTACTAGCTAAGAGGTATTAGGTGCATTATCCCATAAAAAGATAGATATTTCTACTGGAGCAATATTCTCACTTTATACCGCAAAGTCGTTCTCCCCAAGGTGCCGAATACCAAGACCCAGAGAAAATATGCGTTCAATTCATAAAACATCAAACTACTTTAAAAAGCATATCCCTACTATAAACACCCACATCCTAATCCCCTGCCGCCATACCTGGTCCCGCGCAGGCGAGCCCTCATTCTCCCCGACCGCATATATGGTATATCTTGCATGCCCGCAAACACAGCAAGTCTTGCAATTGCAACACAAAAAATCTCTGCTCCTCGGAGCATAAGTTCGCCTTATTTAGCGAACCCTCTCCCTGGTCCCATTCGTTGAGATATTTGGAGGCTTTGTTCAATTCAAACAGATCTGCGGTCGGTTGGTCACAGGTGGCGTTAAGGTTGCTATCTTCGGGCCCGGGGTTCTTGGGTTCGTCCTAGTCTCAACCACAAGAGAAAAAGTCCCAAATCTTGGGTGATGCGAGTTCATGTGGTAAGGGTCTAGAACAGCGAGAGAATGACCAGGGGGGTACTTCAGCTGCCGACCCGTTCAGCTGGGAGGTTTACACAAGTGCAATGTTGGAGATCGCTGTACAGCGGAATGCTCTATGGAAAAACATGGGGGTCGGTGCACGACACCACACCATACAAAATTTAACTCCCCTATCATTGTACCCGCTCTAGTGCCACAGCCATGGATTCTGAACACAGTTCTCAGTTCGTTGCAGCCGAAGGTGTGGGGTCAGTTTAGGCGCACAGATAGGGCAACTGAGACATGCATTGACTAGATCCGATCAGGGACCTTGCATAGTAATGCATACGCCATCTAAGCGAGCTAACGGCTTCGACCCCTGTCCGTTACAAACAGCTCATTCAGCTGCACGCACCTGCAGGGTAGCGGGGGCTGAGAGGCATCATTCACTTGCACCACGATTGATGGCGTTTCTACAAAACAGCCACATCTACGGGTATATTCACTTGCTTTTCAGCAACGAGCCGAGCAGGGAACTAAAACTCTGCAGCACGTTGCGTAGTCGGTGATAGAGGAGGCATCTACCCGACATGACATAGCATTAATAATGCTCTCAGCTCGCGATGATCCGGGGCAGACGAACAGGAGGGAAATAGGAAAAATGGTAGTCTCGTGGCCAACCTGTTGTGACTTTCAGCACGGTACATGTAGAGTACATAGTAAACGTAATTATCTCGATGAATGCAGGTGATAAACAATATGCGCATGAGTACGTGTGGTCTAGATGCCATCTGGCTTCGCGGAAGAGATATCCGTGACATGATGGAAGCGAGAGGAGCACTCCGTAGTCGCCTTGCTATATATCACTTACAATACAAAGAAATATACTTAAACAATGTTAGTGATCAGCGACCGAGCAGGACGAGACCCGAATTGATAGTCGCAAGCCACGATATTTACCTAAAGGATGTGGTAAGAGCTAAGATTAGAGATGAGGATATCAACTTTCCACCTGTAAACTTAGGTCGCTCCATACCTTTACAGTTTCCAGCGAGGGTATGGGCAACGAATGCACCAGTAAAACCATCGGGATCACGTAAGCAAGTAGGAGTATGTCATCAATTATCACTCACTATTTGGGATCAGTTTGACCTACCAATAAGATCGCCCCATGGCCCATCCATTAAGAGAACCTCTTGAGATACCCTATCCAGGAGAGTCCTGGCGGGCCGAGTATAGAAACCTGCCATTGCTAATATAAGAGGAGGATACATGAGAATAGGATCGGATGTGTGATATGAAGAGAGTATGCGTTACTATGATTCAAATTTCGTCCTTTATACCTCCTATATTGGCAGCAGTTCTTGGTGATACTGGGAGAAATCGCAAAATGGATATGCTCAAGGATATAGATACATTGCTATTTAGCTAGACACTTCCTCGGTTCCCATATCCTCTGTCCCTTATACACGGCTCATTCACGAAGACAGTTCACTCGCGAAGTTTCGTGGGCGAACCAGCTCAGTCAAGAAGTATTGAATATTACGGATAATGGTGCTGGGTTCTTGGAGCTGATCTCCCTCCTCAACATTTTGCAACGATTATTCTCTGAATACACAGCAAAGAAATGCCTCTGGGAACTGGAGAAGCACTGTATTACCTTGTATGAGTACCTGGAAGCGTATATGGGTGTTTGCGGTGATAAGCGACAATGGGCATGGTGCTGAAGGTCGAACAGCGTCAGGGTTTCTTTACTCCCACTTTACTGCTGACTTCGTGAATGGACTGAATTATTCCTGACAGAGCTGGGTCATTCCGATATATATCTCACTTCGTGGATGAACTAGTTCACTCACGGAACTTCATGAATAAACCGGCTTCGTGAATGAGCCGTAACATACCTAACGAAGAAAATCTCCGAGCATTCGACCTATATGCTTTGCCGGTTCGTTCATTACCCTTTCTGAGCCCCCCATCCTCCTCGCACTACGATACTCTGTCTTAGTGTGAGTAAACTATCTGTAAGTATTATATGGGAGAACTGTACGTACCACGGCACCGGTAGTATCCCTCCCCCATTAGTGAAAACTGTGCGTCCTATCAGCTGTATGGAATGATTATATTTGGCTAGTTGAGCAAAAAATTCTCATATAAAGAAGGCTCCTTAATACCTGACATATTATATAGTAAAGCATGATGGATAGGGCGCAATTCGGTTCCCTTGATGAATAGAAAGTTTATAGGTCGATCAGGGACAAAGTGTAGTCATCAATAATCACTCGGTTCCATCACGCCCGTCATAGAATATCACTCGAGACACCCGCTTCCTTAGCCAAGTCAATGATTACGACTAGAGCATTGTGAACTCGTACCAGGAGAGAACACTCTACAAGGAATAGTCTACGTAGTATAAGGAAGGGGAATCTAGTATGCTTAGATATTTCCTGGATAGTTAATATGTGTGAGGGGGAGCTAGTGATTAATTTCAGTTTTAGAGGTTATTGTACACCGTCTCCGGGTGAGGGTCTTCTTGCACTGCTCGTTTCAATGCAACGGGCTGAGTACAAGATTAGATTAGGTACTTGCTTATTTAATGATGTGCGCGCGTCAAGGAGAACCTACTAGCGCGTTAAGAATTTCAGATTGGTTTGCCGGCACGATTCATTAGGGTTAGGGTTATGTAATTGAACTGAAATCTTTAGGTTTTGAGGTAGGTCATAATCGATCACTCTCACATTTCGAAGGCATCTCCAGTCGCGACTATCCCATGGCTCGTAGTGGGATTCGGGCGTGTTTTGCCCCATGGCAACCACCACGAACATGTATATATTTCTTTATATAAAAACAAAATAAAATCGGAAAAATACAGGAGGTGTAGGAAGATTGGTGGTGTATATAGAAGCAATCTCTCGACGTATTAAGGCATAGGGGAAGATTACAGGCTTCGCATTTCCACTGAGTCTTTGGCAAAAGCCTACTTTCTCTCACCTCCCTCTGTTCTTTTTCTAACTTTTTACACAGATGACACACTCTTCTATCCTGAGCGGAAATACATATAGGTAGATGTGCAGAGGCTTTACTTCTGTTTTCGTTGGCTGTTATCATCTGGGGTTGTTGTTGGGGTTGACCTTTTGAGATGGTTCGCCGCTGTCCAGCCATAATCAGTTCCCAGGCAACATGCATCCGAAAATCCTTGTGTTTAAGCCCCTTGGACACATTGAGGTTACGGTAGATGATATAGGCATTTATCAGAGCCGTATCCAGTATCCAGAAAAATATAGGAAACCAATTCCTTCTTGTAATGAGTTGGGTTGAGTAGTAGCACCGGTACTGATCTACCACATCAACCCCCACCTTATTGTGATTGTAGTCACTAACGCATGCTGGAATATCAAGTAGTAACCTACCCGTCTCTTTATATACATTTCGGGCTGCTATAGAATTAGATCTGCTCGGTTTCCGCCTTTCAGCTTCGACTTTAGACCGCCTGCCCCGTAGTGTATGAATTGTTGTCATGAGTGAGACATGCGCATTATCAAACCATAGCAAGGCAGCAACCCCACGGTTTACAGCACCAGTTGTAAAATGATATTCTACCTTGGTTTCCGAATTTGGTGGGACTTTGAGTTCAGCAGGGTATCCGGTACGGTCGCGTCTTGTAGTGCCGCATCCTCCAATGTCAATTTGACGAAGATGTGATAGCAGACCGAGAATGGTGTAATAATTGTCCATGTATATATTAAATGCCATTGAAGTCTAAAGTAATTGCTTAGCGAGGTGCAGGCACATCGCACCAGTAGGGGTAAGCCCACTAACTTCCGGTTGTACCGCTTCAGATGGTAAAGGATCGTAGCCGTCCTTTGTGCCGGAATGTGGCCAAAATCCCACACATAACCATGGTCAGCTAAACAATGGAACTTGTAACCAATCTCAATCGGCTTCCCTGACATTTTGCAGATATCAATAGAGCGTCCAAGGAATCGCATCATTGCCCCGTCAATGGTTACGTTGGACTCAGGTATTCTGTATACCTGTGAGGACTGACGTAGTTGTATCAGTAGAGGGTCTACTTTGCTGTGCGATAGCCTCTTCCCACCGTCCCCCACTTTTGGCGCATCAATTTCGGAAATATGAAAGTATCGCTTAATCTCCTCAAACCGTGTCTGACTCATGTAGTCACAGAAATCATGACGTGGCCATAGCGGATCATGTTCTCTGCGCCAATAGTCAGACACTGATGGTTCTTGCACGACACCCATATAAATTATGGTACCAAACCAGCATCTTAATTCACCAACCATCACTGGAACCCATGCGCGCCCGCCTAGTATAGGACTATCGCTCTCCGGTTTTTTTTTTCCTTTTTCTGCTGCATAAAGGTTGGCGTTGTTGGTCATCCGCTGCAGTATGTCATCAGGAAAAAAGAGATCAAAGATATGACGTGGAACAACAACATCAAGATCTGTAACAGAGGGCGGCAACCGGTTTTGTGCCTTGTGAAGAGGCCGGATGTGTACAAAGGGTGCGAAATATGGGTCTCTGGGTAGGGTAGACTGGAGATTTGATGGAGGTTTTGCCTTGGCCGGGGTTTTTCTTTGATAGGGTTAGGGTTGTTTACTCTCCACAATCAGTTATACCAAAGGTGTCTGGGTCGCTACATGGATAGGTGACTCCAAGAATATAGATCTATAATAGCCGCCGAAGGTTTCCTCCATCTCCCGCTCCTATATCAATATAATTACTTTGTATTTTGGCTGTGAGTCACCTCTGACAGCAGAGCACTCGCCCTGCATGTCAAGAGAAGTTAAACCCACGTGGACTGGATAGCTGATGTTCAAAGTAGAGCAGTTGGTGCGAGTCAAGTTAACCTTACTTTGCGTGGTTAATAGGAGGGATAGCTAAGGGGAGATCAATGAATGCAGAAAGAAGGGCGCATTGTAGCAGAATATATATGTCGTTACATCCAATTGCAATCGAGAACAGAATATCCCAAAATATGACAAAGGATGTAGCTCTGTAGCTGTTACCGGAACTGGGAACACGTAAAAAGAAAATAAGAAACAAAAACAGAAAGAAAGTAAGAAATCAAGCATCAAGGTGTGCCTATCCCGCATAAATCGTATCTAACCTAGCTGGTAATAACAGCCAACGTGGAAGTTGTTAGTAAATAGCACCAGCCTTTCACGCTCTTATCAGAATCGAACTTACAATTCTTCCCTACACCGCGATTACCTCTGCCGACTTCCCTGTAGTGCTCGCCACCCCCAACAACGGCGCATCCATATACCAAGCTCCAAACGCCCCCAACAGCGTAGTCGGCGCATCCCCGACCAGCGGGTTCGTGTCCCACCCAAAGAGCGTTCCCCAATCCATCACCATAGTCTGTGCGCTCACCTGGCCTGAGAGCGGGCTCTGCCATTTTTCCTCCACTAAATCCCACTGGTCATCATCTCCGGTGCCTGGGATTGGCAGCCAGTCCGGGCTCTCCTCAACCAGGGCGGGAAATGTACCGCCAGGGTTAATGGTATCCGAGGACTCTAACGCCGCGTTAAAAGGGGGTATGAGATCCTTGGAAGCTGTTGGGAATGGGGCGCTGATTGTCACGCCCATCATGAGAGTGATAGCTGCTGAGTCGCCATTGAGAAGGCCATTGAGGTTGTTCGCACCTGGATTCGATGGGTCCTGGTTTTGGTCATCTACATTACCATGATACACGTCAGTATGCCACCACCCAGGGACCACCGTTCACACTATGTGGTCGGCAATACTTACAAATACCCCATAACGCAGAGGGTACAGCTTTCAATGTCGGTGCAACTCTCCACACATTCGGCGAACCCGCAGGGGGGGCCGGGAGAGACTCAATCGTGACAACCAAATCCGACGTCAACGCCTCTGTCAGCTGCATAGGTTTTGCATATATCTGGTTGGGTGGCTGTGGGACTGTTGCCGAAGGGTCGTCGGTAATCTCAACGGTATCGATCGCCATCCGGCAGGCGATCCCGAACGAAAATGCTGCTGCTCGCACGAGCCACGCATCAGTGACCCCTGGAATACTGGTCCCGTCGGTGGATGAGACCTGGCCGCTCTGGCACGAAAATATGTGGTCATTCTGAACCGTAGCTTTCTTCCCGCCCCCCACTATCTCTTTACCCGACTCTGCCACCGTCGTGTCGGTGCCCATGACTGTGGCAATGGTGGCGGGAGCGCTTGATTTAGAGGCCACCGCCGCAGAGGGCTGGATGCTTGCTTGATATACGAGGTTATAAAAGTCCGCCAGACTGACAGCCACAACAGGGTCAGCGCCCGGCCCAAAGTTGATGTCGAAGCCAAACACCCAGAAGTCGACGTGGACCTTTCCGGACATTGGCGGTCCCTGTAGGTAGATATGGGCGCCAATCTCGACGCTGATATGGAGAGTGACAAGCCAAAGATCCATGGTATAGCGGACGCCGACAGAAATACCCGCATCCGCGATGAAGTGGAAGGGCTTGTAGTTGATTAGAAAGTCTGCGTAGGCGTCAAAGAATGCCTGCAGCGGCCCCAGAGACAGCGACGCATGAAGTAGGCCGCCGCCCATACACACCTTTGGCGTCATGGCAAAGTATGCCTGGCCTGTGATACTCAGCGATTGGTCGAGGTTCCATGAAATTGCCAGCCTCGGTGGATTTGGGTATTGGGATGGGGCCTTGAACGCCTGGTTGTAGCCGCCAATGGTAAACACCCAGTCACCCTGCATTGCCGGATCAGACCCGTCAAACCAGTAGTAGAGCGCAAACCCTCCGGTGAGATGGCAGTCTGGGCTCAGCACAAACGAACTAGGCATAAGCTGTGCCTCAAACTTCATAAGGCCTGCAGCAAAGTCAACCGTTGCCGCGATTCCGAGCTCAACACGTGCAAACTTCTCCTTGATGTCAGGGTCTGCGGGGATGTCGGCCGCACCGACACCAAAGATGCCGAGACTCACAGACGGATTCCACTCCACGACGACGACGGCATCAATCATAAGCGTCTCGAAGGCCGTCACTTTGAGTCCTGCAGCCACCCAGTAGGTGCTGTCTAGCGGGGTGAACCAGCCGGCGGGGTTGCCCATCATATCCTTCAGTGCTTTCATTGGGTTCGTGGGGGCCACCGGCATGTTGATAAAGGGGAAAGACTCGACCTCACTAACGCTGGGGAATCGCAATGCAGAGTTGTACCCGAAGCCACCAGTGATGCCCGAGATCTCTGCAAACTCAAGCTCAACAAGCGGGCCGTTGAGCATACCAAAGACGCACGCGGCGATCTCCTTCTTTTTATGGCCGGTTTTGCCCAGAGTAAGGTTCCCGTAAAAGCCAGCTGCTTCAAATAGATAAGGATCAAATGCAACGATAACGCCGCCAACATAGATGTCTCCGGCTTCGGTGCTGTTATGCTCAAACAGTCCAGAAATGACCAATGGCGGCCGGTTAAATGACACCGCCAGACCGCTGAGCGAGGGGACAACTGGGGGGAGGCTTTGCAGATTGACATTCGCTCCAGAGAAGTCAAGTCCCAGACCAAAGCCGATGAGTGTCAAACTCAGCGGGCCCAGCGCAAATGTCGCGTCAAAGAGAACTGAAAGAGTGGTACCCTTGAGCTGAAAACCGATGTTTGTTATTGACAGCGGGCCAATTGTCTTTTTATATGCGGCCATTGAAGGCCCCGAGTCCCCGCTGGTATCGTCCCCGCCGCCGCCCCCTTGTAAGGCTGTCGCCCTCCCAGCAATGATCATATCCGTGCTTTTGGTCGTTGGCTTGGGCTGCCCGAACACATAATCGATTACCGCCGTCTTTGTACCCTTCTCATCCAACACCACCACAAAGTGCGACCCCGCCGCAATAACCAAATCTGTCTTGCCTGGCTTCTTACTCGACAATGCCTTCACCAGTAGCTGATCTTTTACCGCAAGCTGCTTATTGATAGCGTCCACCTCCTTCTGCAGAAGCCCCGCACCTACGTTTCCATTCTGTTTCGACGTATCCTCCACCCACAGGTAGTACATCTCGTCGAACGGCTGCTGGAGCTCCCCCACGACCGGAAAGTTGCATGTTCCCAGCCCACTGACTGCTGCCCTAATGATACGTTTCGGCGGTACTGTCGGCAGCCATGTGGAATCCCTGTACTGGGCAAATGAAAGCTCGAAGTCACCAACGCTGATACTCCCCCAGTAGAGTATGGATTTGTTTTTTCCAGGCTTTTTGCACATAAACTCAATGCTGTCCTGTTCTGAAACAGGGATGTTGGCAACGAACGGGGGCATGTTTGATGCTGTACCGCCGACAATACTATTCAAAATCTCGCCCACAGTAGATTTCCCAGGGGTGGCGGTGTCAAGCGTTGCACTGAATGTCCAGGTACCGCTTGATAAATACTCGTAAGTCAATTTCAGCTGTAGCTCGCCGACCAAGATGTTCCCAGCAAAGGTGAATGTATCTTTGCTATCGCTCTGGTATGTGTACACCAGATCAAGATACTCAATCTCGATGCGCTCCAGGAACGACATGACGCCGCCACTCTGGGCATCTGCGTCAAGGAAGCTGTACAGAGCCGATAAGTAGAGATTCTGTACCGACGCAGCCACAGTCCAGGTTCCCTCCTCATAAGACAACTTGCCCCATAATGATGCGGGGATTTGGTGCTCCTCCGTCGTGTCCCCCGATGGCTCGAGCAGTACACCAACATCACATGATAATGTGGCCTTTCCGGGCGTCCCTGCGGCCGCCCACTCCCACGAGGCGTCAAGTTCCAAGGTTGCGAGACTGAGTGCTGGGACCTGCGTTGGGGGGCCGTCCTGGAGCATCCCGCCAAAGGAGATCTTTGTGTCTGTAAGGGTAACGTATGCTTGCACAACAGTTGCCGGAAAGTCGGGGATGGCTTGGTGACTGTCAAGAAATCCCCGAGGAGGCTTGTGAGGTTCAGCCCTTGGCTGAGGGTGCCGGGTGTTGTGGGGGCGAACTTGAGGTGAGGCTCGTAGTCCGGAAGAATCTTAAGGGTATCCGGTTGAGATGGGCTCGCTATCCAAAAAGAAAAGAAAAGAAAAGAAAGGTTTGTCAGAAAGATGTAGAAACCCGGACACATCGGGGGTAATAATATTTTATACGAGGAAACAAATACATACCGCACCAGAGCGTCCCCTTTAACTCGACCCCGTCCGTATCCTGCCCCATGACCCAATTAAGGCTCAACAGGAAAACTACCTTCTCGGATTCACTCACAGCTCCAAAGCATAGTGCAACCTCAACATCTATCGTAAAGTGTGAGAGTGTAGGAGCCGCCGTATCTGAAATGACGATCGTGAGAGTGATACGACGCAGATTTGGCGCAGCGCCTTTGTCGGCGGAGTTCAGCCATGTACGAACAAAGCCCAGATCCACCTCTATACAATCTAGAATCGCATCCAGAGCATTAACAGTCTCTGTCTTGATCTCAATCGTCAGTAGTTTCTCACGGAATTCGATAGCAATGTCAAATGTATTATTCAAGTAGGTCCACTTGGCGATGAGTGTAACATCTCCTTGTGTCTGGACCAAAGCTCCTTGTATTGACAGGTCCCAAAAGTTAGTCCGCTTTGCAATCACCGTCACATTATCGAGATCCAGGCCCGGGAGGACTTTCTGGAAAAGACCGTTGAAAGTGACCAGATCTGCAGGTAGCATGTCGAACTCAAGCCTGACGACTGTCTTGTAGCTGCTGGTCGGGTCAAACCATACCGCATTCCTTTTTTTCTGACTATTCGCCGGATCCAATTGTAGGTTTACAACACCCAAAAACAGCATCACAAACGAGTTCGCCATGCTGCTCAGCCCACAGTATTCAAACACCTGCAGCAACGTCATATCCAGCGTCGTGGCCGGACCCGTGGCCGTCTGCGGAAAAGTGAATGGATCAAGCCCGAACACCATGATGCCAACATCGGGCACATACCCCGTCACATCACTGTTGAGGGTAGGTACGTCAAGTGCAAACTCCGCATATTGAGTGCTGAATATGAGCTGCGGGCTCGGCGTGGCAGGGGGGACTGCGCCGCGGTATCCAGCGGGGAGGTCATCGTTAAGACGAAGTTGCCGATGGTGCCGGCAGTGGTAGAGACTGTAAGCTGGGTGGCCTGAACACTGTCCTGGAGCCAGCAGTACCATTCGTCATAGTCACCGAACGGGGTGGTGGTGGGAGCAGTACCCGTGGATGGGGGCGCGGAAGCAAGGCCAATAACGCAGCGGTGAAGGAGGTTGACAAAGTTGTCGAGGTCAGTACCTGCCGCGAAGATGTAGGCGGATTGACTTCGCGACTTTCCCGTGAAGTTAGTACCATACATATAGTATGTGGTGTCATCGTCATCGACATTAACATTGGCTGTGGCCATAGAAGCAGTGGGATTTGTGGCATTGATATCATCCTCTAGCTTTATTTCGGCTCTGTCAGAGCTGCCATTCTCCCTATCTGAGTCTGGCCCCTGGTTGATCTTCATCTTCTTGAGGGTATCGAGTTCATTGCAATCGTCTTCATCACCCATCCCGAAGTTTTGGTAAACATTCAAGCCAGAAGTCTGCGTGGTGTCGTTCGCAATGTTGCTGTTGAAGGACTGCGACCCCTTCATTTTGGTCTTGCTCTTTACTTTGTTTGCCTGTTTCGATTTATCTCCTTCCTTTTGCTGCCGGGGTTTCGGGAGCTCCTCATCCTTCTGGCCATAGTATTGCAGCTCCACCTTTCCGTCCTTACCATCGCCAAACTTCCTACTCATGGCCTTGATGTAGCGCAGATACTTATTAATGTTATTCAGGACCATATTTCCGCTACCCCATGAGGCGCCCAACGCCGGCAGCTGGTTCTCCGTGGTGGTCGACATCTTTTCCCAGCGCGTCTGCATCCGCTTGCAGATCCACTGCTTTATCAGAGCAGGGGTGTTCGGCGGGTGCTGCAACCCAACCCACTCGTCGAATATGGACGGGAACTGTGAGCCGTTCCCGCCGGATTTGTTGATAGTGTGGTACTTTTTTTTCACAGCTTTCACATATGTGTCCCACCTGGGGAATTCGGCCGAACCACAGAGTGCTGTGGTGCTGACATTCCTAACGGAGCAGTAGTGGCCACCCGGCGATTTTGCGAGCCAGCCGGGGTAATTGGTGCTGTAGATGGGCCGGGATAACGACTGGAAGGGGCGTCCCTTTGAGCTGAGATAGAGGGCTTCCAGGTAGACCAGGATTTCCCAGCCTAGATGTTGTCCATGTTAATATAACTGGGCACAAAACAGATAGGGGAGAGAGCAAGCTGAGACATGCATGACGATAGCTTGATGAGAAAGAAGGATAAAAGGAAGGTGAAAAATAAGATATGTGCAATGACAGGATTCAGCGCCTCGCCCTCGCAATATATCCTCATATTGTCTCGCAAAGCAAGAAGGTCAAGACGCGGCAGGAAGAAAATGCCCGGATATATAATAAAAAAAAGAAATTTTTTTTGACTTGCAACAACAATAACGATAACTGCAACAATGGAACCGGAATTCCGTCACTCACAAGGATGCCCAAACCTCGTCCCACACGACACGATTACATTCTTCGGCAGATACTTATCCAGCATTATGGTCGGCGTCGACTTCCTCGCACCATGATGGCTCAACTTCACGTTCGTGATGGCCCCTCCCAGCAGACCTGGCTTCCCGGTCGCCCCGGACCACCTGGCCACGTGCCCCTCCATAACGTAGTCCGCATCACCTGCAAAGTAGTGTGATATATGCCCATCAGGCCAAATCACCATCGCAAAGATGGATGCCAAATTCGTCCCCGTTGTTCCCCCTCGTCCACAATACCCACCTCCCCCGATATCTTCTCCAATCTCTCCGCCTGCGCCGCGGTACTGCCAAAGTAGAGCTCGTTCGACCCCACACAGTAGATACCCGGGCGCGAGCGATCTTTCTTCCCATCATTGTTCACCGGCAGGTTGAGGTTATACAGCACCGACGGCGAAGTGGCCTTAACCTTATCGCCGTCCGCCAGTGGGGTGTTGTCAAAAAAGTTTGTACCGCGGATATCGGTATGCGCGAGATTACAAATCGTGTTGAATACGTAGGTCTTCTTATTGACTATGTATGTGTAAGTGAGGAACTTGTTTGGTTTCTCCTTGAAGCAGGCCGGCGGGCCGTTATACTTCGTGCCCTTCTTCCGTTTAGCTCCCGGTGGCGGTGGCGGGCTGGGAAAGTACGGCGCATACAGGTACGTGAGCGGCGTGGTGCGCCCCTTGCCTTTATACTTCATGAAGCTGATCTGATAGGTGTCTCTGTTCAGCGGCTGGTACCTCTCGATATCCTCGGCAATGAGCTCGACGATACCGGCGTAGTGGTCATGGTCCCAGTGCGTGATGACGATAGCGTCGAACTGGAGCGACAAGATGCTGTACTTTGCGGCGATGGAGTTCATGGTCCCGCGTACGTTGTCACTGATGCCGACGCCGCCATCGCCGCCGTCGACGAGGATGGCGCGCTCGATAGTGGCGGTGGAGCCGTCGGGATTCCGGATGAGGAGGTGGATAGCGGCATCACCCGCGCCGACGGCGATGTGGTAGGAGTCGACGCCCCAGGTCGTTGGCATATTGGGCGGCCGGAAAGGGTGGGGGGGGGCGGAACGGGCGGGGTGGGGGGGGGGGGAGGGAGGGGAGTGTTTTTATTGGGGTTTGGTTGGTGGTTTGGGTTCTGTGAGGGGGCGGTGATCTAGGAGTGCTGGTTCAGAGGCCAAGTGAGGAGAGTTCATTCCGCGGAAGGATCAGAACGAATATTGGCCTCCTAGAAGAGGAGGGCAGGGGAAACTTCAGTTGCGATATTCAAAAGATAACTCGGTCGAGTGATAATGTGTGAAACATCGGTCTCTTCTCAAGGGGAGGGGGGGGGTTGGCGGGTAATCGTATAGATAAAGCTAGCAGCTCAAAAGGCCCAATTCGATCAAGTGCAGAGTGGGCAAATTAAGGCAGTGCCCAATCCACCGAGTGCAGGCAGTTGAAGGGGGATAACTGGATACTGGTCAGATGCCCCCACTGGTACATAGTGTCAATGGTTGACGATACACATATCACACACACACACACACATACCCGAATACCTACTCTGGGCAGGAAAGAAGAACCTGAAAATGCAAGCTGCAAGCAGGGGCTCAATTTGGTGTAGCATTTTGCCAACCGTGAATCAGAGATCGTTGCAATAAAAACTCATTATCAGGTTCTTGGTGCCTGCCCCGAGAAATACCTCCTCCCTCCCCACTACGCATACCTGCCCCACCATCCAGCCCCACCCTTCATGCATCCCCACCCGAGACATATCCAAATCCGCAGTTGAAACCCTTGGTTTGACCGAGCCCCACCTGCGGCTGAATCAATTCGTCCGTGACCTGCATGCCCCTGGATCCCACGCGGCGGGTCAACAAACCCATGCTCGTTCTAGAACACGAACCCCACGTGGGAACCATGCGGGTTGCCCTGCATAAGAAAAAGAAAAAGAAAAAGGGAAAAAGCTTGACAGGCAACTATACCTAATACAGTAAGGCTTCACACTAGAACTTTGCGACTGCGAGACACGCCCGAAACTAGAGTAGGGCAACATCGTACGGAGCTGCGCGCGTGCCGATAGTAATAATAATAACCAAAATGAGGGCATGCAGGAGAAAAACTGCCTTGGTGCTACTACCTACTGGTACGTATATTGGAGGAACCAATGTCAATGGATGCTAAGCCATAACATAACATCGCACTCGAGTCGGTTTTCTCGCCAAAAGACCCGCTGCAGCAGCGCCACCGGTCTTTTCGACGATGAAATAAACCTAACGCTCTGTAATTAGAAATTACCGGGCGTGTTTTCCTAAACCAGTTTTAGTGGCAGATTAAACGAAGGCCAAGCTTGTTAAGAAATTTGGCTTATCCTGGTTATACAAACTCAACGGCGCACCGCAGTCGGATTTCCCCAGTTATTACTGCGGTATTTGCTTCGATGTAGTTAAGTAACTACAAACATGTCCTTTTCAATAACAAGCAAGCATCGATTTATCGCCCCCAGAAATACGGATACTTAATCGAGTTACTATATTGCTGCTACTACCCACGATATGCCCAAAGATTGCTACTTTGAGTAAGTACTCACAGGCGTAAAGAGTACATGTAACCACCGTATACATTTCTGTGCAGGTATAATTAGTTATACGATACTGGCACAAGCCAATACATGCAGCTCTAGTTACAATACGGGGGTTGTAAGTTTTCCGAGTCCTACCAAACCTCGAGTCGCACCACCACCATCAAACAACCCATCTCCCATCTACTTGCGCAAGTAACCCAAAACAGAAAAGCAATCCCTAAAACCACCCCTATGTACAGTAATCCACAAAACACAGTGCAACAGAAACGTGCGTGTACCCCGCCTTTGCTTAGCCACCCCACGCACTAAGCACTTCCCAGAAGCCACAGCGCGCCACGAGAAGCTACTCTACATGTAGGGACATAACCGCCCCTGCCTAACTCCCGTCCAGGTGTGCGACATCTGTTGCGGGTGCATGCATATCATAGAGTACCAGTATGCAGGTAACCAACCCAACGGTAAGCGAGTCTGTGCAACCACAGCTACTAACCTCACCTCAACGTCAAGTGCAACCCCACAACACGACACCAACCAACGCCACGATGTCTCGGATAACCGAGAGATCGATTGGTGACAGACAGACATAGACATAGACATACTCTAGAGTAGACATGGCTGCATGTAGGTAATTAGAGTATGGAGTGCACAAACGCTCCCGGAACGCTCCCGGAACGCTTGCGGTCCGGCAATGTTAGATCCAGAGTAAAGAACCACACCACCCCCAGCTTGCGTGGCCAGTATCCAAACGGAAACGCCATGCACAACGAGGCGTTCGTTGCGAGACTCAGCTGGCACAAGGGCTGCGGGTTAATTCTGCTTGGTGGATCGGAGGAGGAGGAGGAGGAGGAAGAGGAGAGGAGATGGAAGGGGTGGGTCTGGAAGGTGACGGTCGAGGTGGTGGTGGTGGCGGTGGTGGTGGTTAATTGAACTCTTCGTCAATGATTTCCTCTATGTACTATGTACCGACTCGGTCGATTAGAACACAGCACCCTCCCTCGCCCCCTCCCCGAGACGAAAGATATCCATCTTTCGCCCCAACCCCCAACAGCAAGTAGAAACATCACCTCTAAGGATCGACTGCCCCCATCGCGTGCCCGCCACCACCCCACCCGCACAACCATCAACCACCCATCCACCCACCATGTCCACACCCCGCCGCCTCCCCCTCCGCCACGCCCGCCGTCTCATCACCGACCCCCCTCCCACCCCCAGCACCGACCCAACCCTCCTCCCTCTCCTTCCCGGCTACGAGCAGCTCCTCTCCTTCTACGCGCCCTCCCTCACCGCAGGCGCCTACACCGCCACCGCGCAGCAGACCGTCACCGCGCCCGTCCGCTCCGGCCAAACCGCCCCCGACCCCCCACTCACGCTCACAACCACGCAGGGCTTCTCCATCACCGCACCCCGCTTCGCACTGCCCACCGGCGCGGTCCACTCCCTGTATCCGCCGCAGGGACAGGGAGATTATGTGGAGACGCTGCCGCATATGGTGTTTAATGACGCGCATCTGCCGTGGGAGCGGGAGGCGACGGTGCCTACCTCCGCTCCCTCCCCCCCGCCCCCGCCCTCCCCCGCGCCGCCCACGCCGCCCACGCCACCACCACCACCACCACCGCCGCCGCCACCACCACCAGACACACGCAACCGCGTCCCCTGGCTCGCGCTCCTCTCCTTCACGGCCGACGAGCTGGCCATCTCCCCGTCCGACCTCGCCGCAGGCGGCATCTTCGACGCAACATCGCTCCCCAAGCCGGTCGTGCAGAGCGCGACCATGACAGTGACCATGAGCGTTTCGGAAGTTGTCTCAATGTGTGCCCCCACCGCACAGCCGCCGCCCCCCGCAACCGCAAGCCCGATAACGGTTGTCGCCGCCGACACCGCCGCGCCCACGACAACAATGACCAGCGCCGTGTTCCTCCCTGCCGCGCTGTTCACGGCGCTGTTCACTAGCACCGACGCAGCCGGCGTGAAGGTGGCGGACGTGGATAGGTACAAGTACCTCTCGCACGCGCGCAGTATTAATACGACCGGCATGGCGGCGGCGAGCGAAGCGGGCGACAGCGGCGTGTTCAGCGTGGTGCTGTCGCACCGGACGGGGCCAATCGATTCCACGGCCACGCAGCCCACGCCCGTCATCGTGCACCTCGTCTCCATCGAGGGAGTGCCAGGCATGACGTTCCCGCTCCCCGCGGACATCCGATACGTCGCAATGACAAGCCTCTACAGCTGGACATACACGTGTCTGCCCCCGGGCGCCGACAACATCTACCAGACGCTTGAGGGGCTCGGGGAGGGACTGGGGTTGCTGAGGCCGCCGGATGCGATGATTACCGCCGCCGCTGCTGGCGCCGCCGCTGCTGCTGCTGCTGCTGGTGTTGCCGCGGATGCTACTACCGCTGCTGATGCTGCTGCTGATGCTACTACCGCTGCTGCTGCCGCCGCCGCATCTGCCGCCGCCGCTGCTGCTGCTGCCACTGCTGCACGGCTGGTGGCTAGGCTGAAGGATGGCTACACGCTTGTGCGGTGGCGCGTCCAGACCGGCGAGGAGACGGCCGCGCTGTTTCGCGGAGCGCTAACGCCGACTGTGGTCCCGCGCCCGCTGATTGGCGGGTGGACAAGCGTGTCAAATTCAGGCATGGACCTGCAGGTACTGGACCAGGAGGTGGGGCTGATGGACATCACGTACAGCGCTGCATGGCAGCTGGGGCGGACGCTGGGGATGGCAGATCGTGCGTTTGTGACTGCGCTTGCGAGGGTGCGTGGGGCGGTGTATGATGGTGCTATGGCGCTGTGTAAGGGTGCGGCGCTGAACGCGCGCATTCCCGGCGCGTATCGGACGAGGGAGGAGACGCTGTGCGGGTTGGTGAAGGGCGTTGAGACGCTGCGGGGGTTGCCAGGCGGCGGGGGGCTGCGTGCGCCGGGTGGGATGATGCGAAGGTGGCGGCGAGAGGCGGTGGAGATCCCCGATCTCAAGTTCGGCGGCGGCGGGGACATCACGCCCGCCGATTTCGCCGCAAACACTGTGATTGTCGTGCGGGAGCTGGCGGCAGCCACGGGCGGCGGAGTGTACAACGAGCTCAACACGCCCGTCAACACGGACTGGATGACGGTTCTCAAGTGGGTTATCGATAAGCTATTCCTCTCCGGTATCCCCGCACAGTATCTCATCAGCGACCCCACCCACCTCCCCGCCGAGGCCCTGCGCTTCTTCACCATCGACGGAAACTGGACCGATGCCCTTCTCGACGGCGCCCTCAGTCTCGCAAACCACACCGTCGACACAACAGACCAAGTCCGCATCGCCATCAAGACCGCCATCAACGACTACCTCACCACGCCGCTGCCCATGCCCGCCCCCGCCACCAGCTACCTCCCGCAGATCCCGTCCTACGGCTTCCTCCTGCGCTCGCAGGCAATCGTGCAGTTCCCCGATCTGGTCGTCATGACCTCGCCCCTCCCCGCCACGGGCGTGCCAATCCTCCGCCACGAGAACATCGCCGACGACACAATGCTGTGCCTGTTTGACCGCCAGCCTGGAAGCCCAGCCTTCAACAAGCTGACGTTTCGCCAGCCGCCGCACCAGCAGAGCTTTGTCGCGGCGGCGGCGCTGACGGCGGAGAGCTTCACGACGGCGTACAAGCGCGTGTACACGCAGCCGGACCCGACGTACGAGACGGACCCGCTGCCCACCAACACGTGGTACAGCAAGGATGGTGTGCAGGTGTTTGATTGGGATACGAGGACGCTGGTGTTTCCGGCGTGGCCGGTGGACGTGTTTACGGCGATCAGTGCGGAGATGGCGAAGGTCGGCCCGGACGCGTTCGTGGACACCGAGGCCACCGCCGCGCTGTGCGGGATCCAGCTCAACAACCCGATCTACTCCATCGACATTACCCTGCCGCCGCCGCCGCCATCCGCACTGCAGGAGCCTCCCGCCGGCGGCGCTGCAGCCCCACGAACGCTCCTCCTCCTCGACCCGCCCAAGCGCCCCAGACCCCTTCTGCACAAAAAGTGCGCCTCCGCCTCCCCGCCGCTGCCACCCCCGCCCGCCATCCAACACACCACTATCCCGCCCCTCCCACCCCCCTCCTCTCGAACCCGCCTCACACCCCTCCCCGCGCCCGCCCCACCACCCTACCACCGCCGCCTCCTCCCCGCGCGCCCCTCCTCCCACATGACCACCACCCCCTCCACCTTCCCACCCCCTCCCACCCCCACCCCCGGAATCACTGCCGCCCGCCCCCCACCTTCGCGTACACCGTCAGCCCCGCCGCCTCCTTAGGCCCCATCCCCACCACCGCCGGCAAGCAAGACCTCATCTTCAGCATCCTCCTCACCAGCGGCGCGAACACGCAATACCGGCTTCGCAGCATCGAGCTCTCCCTCCCCCTCGGCAGCATGGCCGACGCCGACGCGAAGACCACGCCGCCGTTTGCGCAGCGGTACGACGGGCCGGGCGCGAGCATGCTGAGCAATCTACGGTTCAATGTCGCCGTGGAGTTTTCTGCAAAGGCGATGGTGCTGCGGGTGCTGCCGCGGACAACGAGGGGGTGGGTGGGGGTGGGGGTGTGCGGGGAGTGTAGTTTTGGGCTCGGGTGGGTGCTGGTGAATGAGTGGCCGGCGGCGGTGACGGTGGGGATGACGGTGAGGGAGCAGTGGGAGTGGGCGGTGTTGGAGTATACGGTGGGGGTGGAGTTGGTGCCGGGGACGACGACGACGACGGCGGCGGCGGCGGCGGGGCGTGGGGGGGTGTAGGTGTAGGTGTAGGTAGGGGGCAAGAGGGGGGGTTAGTTTTGATGTTTCGTTGTATACTTGTGGTCTTTCTTTGTAGCTATTTCATATTGTGTGGGATGCACTTACGCAGAATCTCAAGCATCGCTCTACTAGGCCCCCACGTGGAGGTGACTATGTTATGAACACCGCTACTTAGAAGCCAGAACCACCATCCAATATCTCGTCACTCACTCCCAGCACCAAAGCCCCCCTGAACCACCTAATTTTCCACCCACCCATCTACTTTCCCGCCACGCCACCCCAGGAAGTGTTACATTCATCCTTGAGGCCAGGGCGCCCAAAAACCAAACCCAGCTTTAACTAGTGGTGCTGTTTCAATCTGAATTAAAGATACATATATATACACAGATATATCGTCCTTTCGATTCGTGCCAGATTAATTAACCGAGAAGGCCTATATCTACTTGCCGGATTTTAAAGAGCAGAGGTGACGGAAGTACAAGGAAGGGTGAGTCGCGAACCATACGTACTCACACCTGATACAACACCTCAACACCGAGCAAGTATCATAACCATATGTTTTTCTAGAGGAAAATACTAGTATATTGGTAACAATAATTACCAACCTTAAAAAAATTGAATTCATCGCACTGGGCTTCGTCGAGTTGGGCTTCGTTGCGTTGCGTTGCGCCGTTGCGGCGCTGAGCTCGTTGTATTCCCGTCCTACTCTTTATAATCCGGCTAGTGTACATACAGAACACATCCCAAGTGGAGTAGAGTACTGTAAAGGTAAAGGAAGAAGGAGAGGTAGGGGAGGAAGTAGTACTCAAGTGCATGAATTGATAACAGCGGAAAAAACGAGGTTCAAAGATCTAGAAAGTAACAATTAATTCTAGTAGCAGCCGCGCAATAGCATCGAAAAGTGAGCTGAGTATATATTTCAAATAACCCTAATCCTGCCTACTTTGCTTCGTTTGATCATTTGCATTTTTGAAGGCCTTTGTTTTTTTCGGACCACATAATACCACCAATGATGGCTCCGTGGGGTTATATGGTGAGATGTATGGCGATCTCAAGGCTGGGTAATAAGTATGTGGTTCGACTATGACTATCATGGGGGATTCGAAGATATGGGTGAAGGGGGCTGGGTATCGGTTTGGTCGATATTGGTATATATAGTTCCAGACGACGCTGGGAGAAAGAGAGTAGGGTACGTTTCCCTCTCGCACGCCGACCACATGCCAACTGAATAATCGTCGGTGACGGCGCCTCCTCCTACATGTACAGCTACATTGCTGTGCCCCGGTTTTTGATGAGGGCGGAATTAATCCGAACGGTCCGGTCTCCACACCAGGACCATGGAAGTCCTAGCGCCTAGATATATACAACCCCCCGTTCGGGAGATGTTTCCTCGATTGCCATCTGTCAATGAAGCTGCAGGACATGCATTAACGTAGATAACGATGTTTCGTCCCCCCCCCCCCCCTCCCGAAGCACAGCATGGCCGAGTGGGTAAGCTTCCAGGTGGCCGAGTTCTCTCGATGAGGGAATTTTCCGAGGGTGGGCGAGGTTGCAGGTTCGAATCCTGTAGGGGCGGTGACCCAGGGGATATTAATCGTGGGTTCTTTTCCTGGCTTGGCATGTGGGATGGTTTCTGCTCCTGAGGAGAGTTTTCCATGTACCCGGCGCCCAAACGGGGCATGCGGACTGGTGATGGAGTGTGGCTAGGTATGAGTGCTGGCCTTGAGCCGGTTGGGGTATTCCACATCCTGCTGAAAGGAGCGACTAGTAGGCATAAAGGGTGAAACCCTGTACTTGTACTGTAGATTGAGTGCTCCGCCATAACTGAAAGGTTGCATGCGAGTATGAATTAAACAAAAAACAAAAGAAAATCCCGAAGCACAGCGCCGGGAGGTCTAGTCGATCGATCCTGGAGCCGCCGCTGCCAATATATACTCGAGTCTTGTATTAAATTTCGCAAAGTCTTCAGACTAACGGCAAACGTGTTAGATTACCTGCGGTACTGGGTATTGAAGCTTATAGCTCAGTTGATTGACGTCACGTTATGTTTTGGTGCTGATATCTCGCTCATAGCCCATCACTCGATCGCGCGTTTGCGAAAAGTCTCGAAATCAGGACATTTTTTTTCTATTTTTAAACTATGTTTTCTCGTGTCTGTAGTTCAAAGTCTCGAGACTTTCTGTCTTGTGCCCATCACTACTAGGTGACAACCCGAACAGATGCAGATCTACAACCCTAACCCTGCATCCGAGTGATATCCCATGACCGACTTGCAGTCTGTGGAGCTGCGGTAAGTTCACAAATGACGATGTCGCGAGGAGGGGGGGGTACCGGCTGATAAGCGCGGAAGGCGCAAGAGCTAATGGGCAAAGGCTCGACTGCGTGGTTACAACCCTAACCCTGCTAACGAGTGATATCTCATGACATGTGGAGCTGTGTTGGGTTGTGTGATTAAGGGTTGCCGAGAGGGGAGAAAGGCTGGCGGACGCTCGTTCACGGACGGAGGAAAAGCTAACGAGTCCAGGGGCTGAGAGCGCGAGTTGTTATAGCCCTAACCCTGTGCCCGAGTGATAGCTCATGATACGGATTGCAGTAGGTGTGTTAAGTTCTGCGAGTGACGATGTCTCAAGGAGGTCTATCAAACCTGCCTGAGCTTCTGCATGGACGGAAAAAAGCTAACGCGTCCAAGGACCCGAAGTGACTACAACCCTAACCCTCCGAACGAGTGACCCCTCATGACCTACATTAAGATCGGCGGCACTGAGAAAGGTTCTCAGTGACTATCTCGAGAAGAGTTTCTTTAATACGTGTTGGTAGATGCCTGTGCACGGGCGGAACACAAGCTAGGTCGAGTACGAGCGCTACAACCCTAACCCTGCAAACGGGTGATACCTCAGACACGGATTGCTTTTTTCTTTTTTTTTTTTGTATTTAATTCATTAATTGCATATGACACGGGTTACATGTGGTAGTTTGTGCTCTCCGGAGAGGGGGAATGCTTGTTCGCAACTTGTAACTCATTGTGGGCGCTTTTGCATGCATGGCGCCGAAGTTAATACGTCCAAGGGCTCGACTCCCCCGCTCGAGTGGTAGTGGCTATAACCCGAACCCTGTCAACGAGTGGTACCATATGACACGGATTGCGGTCTGTGGAGGGGTGTTAGGTTGTGTGATGAAGGGTTACTGAGAGAGAGTGGAAGAGAGCTTCTTGGGGACTTGGCTGGTGAGCACTTGTGCATGGACAGAAAAAAGCTGACTGGTCCAGTGGCTGCGAGCTCGTATGACCCCAGCCCTAACCCTGGAAACGGGTGATACCACATGGCGCTGTGGAGCTGTGTTGGGTTGTGCGACCAAGAGTTGCCGAGAGGAGCGCAGAGGTTATTAGGCCTTCAGACCGAACCGCAACACGCTACCACTGATAAGCGCTCTGAGTGTTCATTCTCGCCTTGAGACCACAACTAGAGACAGGAAGGGAATGAGCAGTAACTACGTTCAACCGGGCACATTAGCCATATCAGTTTGGGTAACATATTGTAATCCCGCCTAAAGGCCTAAGAGATACTAGACCCTTGTGCATGGATGGCACAAATATAACGGGTCAAATGGCTTAGGGCGTGGGTGGCTATAATCGAAGGCCTTGAGTGCGTTTGCCAACAACCCTAACCATGTAACCGAGTGATATAGTATGACCCAGTATGCGATCTGCGGAACTGTGATAAGTTCATGAGTGGCAACTGCCTCCAGAGGAGGGGAATATCTACTAATATAGTATGTGCTGGTCGATACTTGTGCATCGATTGGGCAAAGGTTACCGTGTCCAAGGTTCGAGCATGCACGTCTATAACCCTGGCCCTCGCTATGGGTGATATCGTGTGATTCAGAATTACAAAATCTACTGGCCGGCCATATGCTACTTTCAGGACTATGTGTGAGAAAAAGTATGTAAGAGAAGTAAAGTAATTGATTGTGTTGATTGTTCTGGCTTAGCGGGAATGCTGCGTATTTATACTGAAGAGAGTTAGTTCAAAAGAAATACAATGATTTATAGACGTATCAGTAATAGAATCACTAATAAGAAAGTGAGTTATTCGCCGATCACAAATACTATAATGAGAATCTTCCAACTTGAATACTATGAGATTTGTCGAGCGCCTCATTTCAAGACTTCCCCTTATGAGCCAGAGTGAATAGTGGAAAAAAATAGAACATGTTTGCCCTTATGCAATTCCTTTGTAAGTAAATCCACTACGTTCTCATTCATAGAAATACATTCCAGTTCAAACTTGAATAATTCATCCACTTCCTCAAATCATTCCCAAACAAAATGAAAATTTACTAGTACATCAATATGTTTAGACCTTTAATGAAAGAGAGGATTTTTAAACAGAGAGAGAGAGCCGTCGTTATCACTGGCACTGCGAAGAATAAAAGAGAGATTCAGTTTTCGTTCCACTTCGTATATCACATTCCTTAACCAAATCAGTTGTTGACTCGTGTCCGATAGGGCCATATATTCTGCCCCAACAGTGAATTTGACAACTGAACGTTGCTTATAAGAGCGCCATTAATGAGAGCTTCCCCTGACATTAAGCAGTTGCCGGTAAATGAGTGGTGGTTATCGATATCTGAGGCATAGCTTGCGTGGCTATAGCTAATAAGTGCACTTGGTTGCGTTTTTGCGTAAAAGAGTTACCAATCGATGATTCCCTGTAGATAATGGAAAACGCGATGGACTGCAACTAAATTGGCTTTGGTAGTATAGGAGGAGAATTGTGAGAGCATGGTAATGGTGTAGGCAAGGTTGGGTTTAGTGCCGATTACTGCATACATGATTGAACTGATTATTGACTCATATCTGGTTGCATCGTCGATTTCCTCTGCCACTGCTTCAGTTCCCTTTTGAAGGTGAACATTATTGACGATAGATGTTACAACAGGTCTAGATTCGTTGAAACTGTATTTGATGAGTACACGCTTGAGGTAGGATTCCTGCTATAGGA